GTCACGTGACTTCTTGTTCGACGCGAAATGATGAAAATAATATGCTTCTAATAGCATTCATTCCTATAATGACTTGTCAGGTAAAAACCGTGACAGCTGCTTAAGCTTGCCATTGGCATGAACCATGGCCAAGTTCTTTCAGAGTCTTCTTGAAAATATCTTCAAGAGTAGGAACATGTGCAGCTTTATGCACTGAGCACATTGTAGTGTCTCAATGGACATGATACTTTGCATGTCTAGCTCATGAAATTGCTTACCACATGAAGATGAGCCTTCCAAATGGGGGATGTTTGCACACCTAGCTCACGAATCTACAGCTTATTCTAACTAGCCACATGGAGTTTAGACTTCCAAATGGGGGATGTTTGCGCGCCGGGCACCGATGTTTACTCTTGTTTTCTCCCAGCCGCTGTAGGGAGTTGGGGGGCAAATAAGAGTTAGGAGTTTGAAATGTGCTGAGTTCGAATATTGTGGCTGAAATGTGGCTGAGATGGCGCTAGGATGAAGCACGAAGTCCCACCCATAATATTAAGGCCCCCTTAAACTCCCGGAAGTGGATGGGGAGGAGCCTGCAGTAATCGTTGGTTTTTCTCCTCTTCGGTCAAGATCATTGCAAGTCTCTCTGTCGCGTCGTGGCACTTGGTGATCAGACAAGAGCAAGCTGACACTTTGGAAACAATCTTGTCTCAATGATATACTCACGAAAGGTCTACAATGGCAAACTGCATGACTTCATGGACCAACGGCACTTCGAGCTCAGACCCTTTGCTCGACATAATCGCGTTTGACATGGTCTGTTCACTGGCCGTCCATGTTTTACGATATACAGTGATCCGAAATCGCAGAATCTGAACGTACATACGACTAAGTTCAACAACTAGCGCATCATCCAAGCTCTGGTTCAGATCGGATGCAGACACAATCTATGCAACAGTCAGTCGAACAAAACGCCACCATTCACGGATATGGTGTGGCTTGCAATGCATTGCGACACGTTAGCCCAACCTACTAGTAGCCGACAGCCTGGGAGTTTACCAGTAATAAAGTATGATTCCGGCTTTGATAGATAGGACACTAGGCTAGCGATGACTTCTGGCTCGGCGACGGGAAAATCGGGTGCTTGGAGCGCCTGAAGGGATTGGCATACTCAGCGCAATACCACACGAAAGGAAACAGCAACAATCACGGCTCTCCACGCATCCCCAGGTGCACCGCCGTGCAGCTTGTCCTGTTCGGTCACCGCTGAACCACGAAAGCGAAATCAACATGCGTTATAAGACCGACGCTACTGACACTTACACATTGGTGTGTAAATCATTCCTGGAGCATAAGCGTTAACAGTGATCTTGTGCTGCGCCAGCTCTTGTGCTGTCCTCTCATCGTTAGTCTGACGGTTATTAGCTGCCTGAGTAACTTTCCTCACCTGCTGTTTGTGTCAATCCGCGTACAGCGAACTTTGACGCGCTGTAGGCACCAATGCTCCGAAATCCTAGAGGCCGAGTTCTCGTAAGTAAGCGAGATCACAGTCGTCTCAATGTTATTCACCATGCTTTCCGGCTATAGATGATGCTCCTGAAGCCCGAGGACCAGAATGAGCTGCTGAGTTCTGATTGATTACAGACCAGCGGGAGGATACCTATGATTCTCCCGTCTCTCGCTCGGCCAATCATCTGTTTTGCAGCATACTGATACGAGAAGAAGACCCCTCGAGCGTTGACAGACATGACTCGGTCCCATTCCTCCGCCGAGGCTATCACAGCGCTCAGCGTTTCAATAGGGAAAGTGGGAGAACGCACTATTGATTATAGGATTTGCAGACGCAATCCCTGCGTTCGCTACCATCTCGGTGAAGATGCACATTTCAGTACAGACCTTCACAAGGTGGGTACGCAATCAGCGGTGTCTTACCACGTCTAAACCTCCCAACTGTTCCGCAGTCTCCGCTACCATGGAACGCACGTCTTCCTCCTGAGAAACGTCTGCGGTTATGGCGACGGCATGGCTCCCTCGGTCTTTGATCTCGGCCACCACCGCATCAAGCTGTTTGCGTTTCGAGGGAACATCATTGACGGCCGCCGCGAGTCCATCTTCTGCCAGACGCAGAGCAATGCTCCATCCGATGCCTTGCGAGGCGCCGGTGATAATAGCAACTCGCCGCACGGCAGATAGCGTTGGCATGGTATACTCACTACCAAGAGGTAGAGGAAGCGGTTCCTAACTAGCAGAACGAGTTGTCAAACGACTCCCTCACAGGAGTTTTATCAGAGGAGACATCTTGCTAACGCCAGCCCGGGAGGACCAAGGTTCACGGCAGGGTCACAGGTTCACGGCATTCCCATAGCATGTCTTCTGCAATCCATCGAGAAGCAAATATCGGCAGGAATACGCCATCGATTAGACAAAAATGTCATCAGTACCCGCGCCTGAGGGATACTGATGGCTGGGATGTATGGAGGGCTTTGCTACAGACATCAGGTCTTGAGAGTGCGAGAATGCAAGCTGCTATATGGCCCATCTGTTGTCCTGCTGCGCAGGCTGGAAGCAGCAGAGAACTCCGAGTCGAAGTCAACTGACTTGGCTTCTATCGGTCGCTCAATGGCCGCACGATACACAGACACTGAAGATGGAAGACGTTCAATGTTGCAGGGAACTAATGCGAACGGATTTCACAACGAAGCGATCAGTGCGAGCCTCCGGGCGTTTGTGGATACTAGTATGTACGAAATACTAATTAATGTGCGCACCTTCTGTTGTGCGACGCCAACTTTTGGCACGAGCAGGACCTCCCGTGGCCAAGTCTCGTAATTAATGTCATCTCTCATTAAGAATATCTCGAAGAAACGAATGCAGATCAAAGTGACGTATGGACGATGTCAATATGCTTCGGAACGCACGCCTTCTCTGTGGTGTACTTCTTCTGCGCAACGAAGAAGCAGAGTTGCCAGTGGGATTCTCACTCGGCTAGGATTCAACTTCCCACATGATTGTCATTGCCTGATATCGGCTGTGATCATAATACGCGTGCACCATCGTTTTCCTTGCCATCCCCTGAATGGTTAAGTGTTTGAGCTAAGATGGCGATGGCAAGATGCGACGACACCAGGCTCATAAATCAGCCTTTACAGGGAAGGTAGTCGTTGCCGAAGACAAGATGGGGATAACGCGACGGCAGTCCAGCGGTAGCGTTCTGGATGATTTTTAGGTGATGAACCATAATATGAACAGATGCTGGGGGACACTAACTTCAGCCCACCTTTATTACGCAACGAGGTCATCAGGTTGCCTGAGCAATTGAGGGCTGCCAATAGGGGAGGTCAGAGTGGGCGATTCTCACCCGATTCTGACGCCGATTCTGACCAGATTCTCCATGCGCTTCAGGTCACAAAATCGATGCAGAATCGGGTTCTCACGCTGAACACCCCCAATTCTCCAGTACACGATTGTCCTTTTGATTCTGCTATGGGCAAGTTGGACATTTGCCTTTTATGTCGAGTAGCTCTAAGAGACAACATGAATTGTACTGTTCAAGTCTCATAAATCGAGAGAGTTTACCACTCAGTACTGGTGGCCCTACGCAGCCCTATACCCCGCCGGACTTAGCTCCGCCGCCGAGCAGAAAATCTACTTCGGGCTCATCTGAATGATACAAAGATTCACATTAAACACCAAAGACATCGCAAGGAATATGGTAAAGAGCTGTTGTATTCACATCAACCGAGTTTTGTAAAATGTGGATTGCACATGTAGTCTGCTTACAAATCATCATAACTGAGTATGTGGTAAAGAGAATCCAGCTATGCAGAATCGGCCAGCCGATTCTGAGCTTAGAAGCGGCTCGCGAGCCGCTTCTCAAAAAGCTACGATTCTGGTGCGATTCTTCGAAGCGCCCGATTCCGCGTCGACCAGAATCGGCGCGTCGCAGCGACACTTAGAATCGGGTGAGAATCGCCCACTCTGACCTCCCCTAATGCTAATAATGTACTGTATGATGAATGCACCCGTATCCCACAAACCTAGCAACGACAGTCATGGGATAAACACACGAGACAAACTACAGCGTTGCGCATGATGATTGTGCTGCGCAGAGTGGTGCAGGTGCTTGAGTTATTGCCAACCGAAACCAGAGAGCATCTGCGAGATACTATCCTTTATGGCCCGTTTCTATGCCATCGCGTGCTGCTGCGCATAATGCATTGAGAAAGTCAGAGCATTTTTGCATCACAGGAGCCCAGAAACGTGTACATAAATAAGCATCGTGCGTGAGGATTTTGATTTGTGCAGAGGTTCCATGACACCGGTGCAAAAGAAACCACTCGTGTGAATAAACGTCTACACCTAGACCTGTGCCTTTTGGAAGCAACAGGACAGATGAACTTGGCGGACATCAGGTGGATGGAGTCGGCACTGCGAGCGTTTGTACAGAAATGAAGCTCTCCAGCAGGTCAGTGTCAAACGGGGGATATGAGTACGTACGTTCTCAGCGTCAAACCACGTAGAACTTGTTGTTCGGCAAAGACAGCAGAGTTTGTGCTATCATGCCGCAAGACGCCAGGGCTACCGATAGAGTTAGCCACAGGCGCTCCAGAAAGCGAATCTCCGGAGTCAGCATGCTGTCTGGGGAAGAACATCTCCATCATTGGACAGCTCGGACGTCGGAAAGCCATAATCCGTTCATCATGTATTACGAGTCTCCAGTCTGCAGGAGGCTCCTTCCTGGACAATTAAAGAAGAAGCGGTCGCAGAACGAATCCACGAGCGTCCGATATAGTGAATGTCCGAGACTCAGGATTAATAAACGCGCAAGGATCATATCTTTTCATCAACATGCCCAAAGCCGCCCGGGTCCATGTGGGCAAGGGGATCCTCCCATGCCATGGTCAGGCCGGTCAGGTCAGGGACCACGATGGTCTAGTGCTTCCAAACCTACAAGCCATGAAAACCGAACTTCCACCTAGCCTTGTTGTGACGATTGACCGAGTCGAACAGCCTGAAATACACGGCGTCGTGGATGGTGGAACCGCATGAAATATCCGGAGAACGATGGGCGGTGGGCGAATTTAACAATCGTCAAAGGCCGAATTTGAGCGTGGCGTGCATGTATGGATTGATGTAGCCCGGAGCGCTGTAGAGCCGCCGCAGGGCACGCGTTAACTTGGGCGCCCATCTGAGAGACGCTTCCCGAGCTAACCGTGTCCTGCTGCCTCCAGACTACCACCGTGCTCAGCGCACACGGCCTTCCACGGGCTTATCTCAGGCGACTCATGCAACACTGTCTGATGCTGGCATGCCGTCCGCACTAATTGAACGGGACACGCCTGAGAAAGCTCGGGTATCCATATGCTCGACAAGGGACGATGCGGTCGCCGGAGCGAATCCCTCGTGAGTGACATTGCCGCACTATCATCCATTTAGCAGGACTCCCGCTAGACTTCTGCCACAGATGCCATATGCGCCTTGCTCAGCCTTGGCTGCAACACCATTCTTGTCTGTCAAAACTGTGATGAGGATGTGTCCACATGCTTGCGAAAAATGGCTCGCGTGCGCGGCAGCCTTGCAGTCGCACCCTCTCCGTGAGACTCGTTGACATGAAAGAAGGTACCCCTGATTGTGTGAGTTACTCTATGTCCGTCTCCATGCGTTGCAGAGCGTATACGGCAGCCTTATCTAAGAAGGTCACTCTCCTCCACACTGAGGAAGATGCAGCACTAAACGTGAATTTTCAGCCGATGGTGTTCCGCATGGGCTTCTATTACTTCGAAAAGCCTCCTCGCCCGATAATCATTCCGCATAGAAGCCATGCGCTCTTGTCCTGCTCGATCTCAACGTATCACGCTTCTTCGCATATGCCATGAGAGCTGTGACAACCTGAACGGTATGGAACTGCGGAGCGGTCGGTGTACCATGCAGCGTCCTGCAGCTAACGGGTTAAAAGGCACGCGGCTAGTGTCCCCATTGTCCGACCTCCCTTCCCTCCCCGGTGTCACAGCATGGTTCTCAGCTCGTCTTCCTCTTCGTCTGCCTTCTGGCTTGGCTCGCTGATTGTTAGCCTCGATCTTCTGTTAGTAAGGGCGTATGACAATAGTAGGTCGGTCAACGTGAGTTTAGAACCAGATGTTGTCTATGCATCGCTCATGCATCTCTCTTCCCTAGCTTGCCGTGTGAGTATGATTAAGACACAGAAGCTGTGGCGAACCTGACCCTTCCTAGCTATTGGGGCCAAGACTCATACGGCTCCACTGGTAGCAACACCGCATACTACCAACAGAACATTTCGTACTATTGTCAGGTGGGTCTCATTTCGTTCTTCCATCACTACACTAAGGTCATCTCATCCCTGTGCTTCTAGGATGATGTGATTGATGCGATCCCAATGGCTTTTCTCAACGTTTTCTTCGGCGAAGGTGGCGAGCCATCACTCGATCTTGCTAATGTCCGTGCTTCCATCCATGTTCACGCGCCGTCGCTCATTCGTGCCTACGAATAGGTCTGCAGCACTGCCAACGACCCTGTATTTGAGGATACCCAGCTGCCTGAGTGTCAGTTTATGGCGGCCGACATTGAGTACTGTCAAAGTGCCGGGAAGATCGTCACGATGAGTCTCGGAGGCGCCACTGGCGATGCAGGGTTCGCCAATGCGAGTCAGGCTGAGGGTTTCGCGCAGACAATCTGGGACTTGCTCCTTGGAGGATCAAGTAGCACTCGTCCGTTCGGCGATGCCGTGTTAGATGGGTATGCGTACCTGTGGTCGTTCCATGGAATCAGACTGATATATCATATCGTTCTGAACAGCATTGATCTCGATATTGAGGGTGGTTCTTCGGATTATTTCACAAACTTTGTGTCTACTCTGCGATCGCTCATGGACTCCGGAGATAAGACGTATGTAGTCATTCTCCGCATGATATGTCATCTACTAACAAAACCGACATAGGTACTACATTACGGCTGCTCCTCAGTGCCCGTTCCCAGACGCATACATTGGAAGGTCGGTCGTAGCGCTTCTTTTATTGTGAATACGTTTTGACTCGACTCCGCAGCGTAATCGATGCCGAATCGTTCGATGCAATCTACGTGCAATTCTGTATGTATCATGATATAGTCTCGGTGGTGCCGCATTCACGCTAATTGGATCTTATCTGACAGACAACAACTACTGCGGGCTTACGAATTACGATGACTCGAACGACTGGGACTTTTCGACATGGTCTGTAATGATCTAATGATCTGACGACTACGGGAGAAGGTTGCTGACCACGCCACAGGGATAATTGGGCAAAGAACACCTCGCCAAACCCCAGCGTTAAGGTCTACATTGGTGCGCCAGCTGCCTCCGCTGCAGCCGGCTCAGGATACGTCGATGCCGCGACATTGGGAGAGATCGCGATCCAGACGCGCGAGCAATACTCGTCATTCGGCGGAGTGATGTTGTGGGATGCGTCCCAGGCGTATGGTACGCCGTTCTCGATCGGACGATCGAGCTGCGCCGCTGACGACCTCCGTATGTCATCCCCAGCCAACGACCGCTTTGACGAGCAGATCAAGAGCTCGATCACGGAAACGGGCTCGACGACGACTGCGACGACGAGCACGACAACGGCAGCGACAAGCACAACGTCGAGCACGACCACCACACCTACTACGACGCAGACGCCAACGACGTCGACGACAACTACCTCTGCGGCTACCTCCACGACGACGGCGTCTAGTGGTACGGTCGACTGCACCGGCGTAGCTGCTTGGGTCGCTAACGTTGCTGTACGTGCCCCTGCTTCCACAATGTTCTCTCTCAACTGACAGATTGGGGACGATTACAGTACGTCGGTGGTGATCAGGTCGTCTACAAGTGAGTTGAACCGTCAAAATGATATCAACGAGCGATAAACTCATTCCCGCATAGTGGCGATCTCTGGACTGCCAAGTGGTGGAGCTACGCTGATACCCCAGGAGGTCTGTCGATCTCCGTTCCCTCCCTGGCTAGTCTGACGACTGGAAATTTGCATATCAGGCGCTGCGGGCGATTGGACAGATGATGGCGCCTGCGGTACCACAAACGCGGTGAACGGCTACGGGAAGGTGTCTTATCAGCAGAAGGAGGCGCCCTTGACCGTCGGCCCGAAAGTCTCAGCAGTGCCCAATCTTTCCTTATCGTCGCGACTTGCAGCGCAGACCGCTGCTCCTGCTCGGCGAAACTCACGCTTCTTCAGATTTTAGACGCGAGTCTGCTCCCATTCAGTCATGATCATGATAACGTTTATGTGATATGTCTCGCTTGATTATTCCGTTACTCCTATTTCACTATCGTCGTGCGCCGGCACGAGTGGTTTGACACCTCTCTCGGGTTCCCGACATCTATAACAATGCTGTATTTCGCATGTGTGGGTCTCTTGATGTATTTTTCGGTGCTGTGGTTATCGGAATATGGTTTCGCGATGGTTCAGTAACGTTTCTGGGCGCGCTAGGATCCAACGGCTGGGCCATCCCGGATATGACGCACCGTCTTCACCAGGCTACTGGGCATTGTCAAAGTACCACCCAAGGTTCGGACAGTGTGTTTTTAATGGGCAGAAAGCAAGCGTTCCTGCATCCTTCATCGATATGGGCTTCTCGGGTGGACCGCCTCACTCTGCCCGATTGTATGTCCCAGAACGACTACTAGCCCATGGAACGCCGAAATGATGTGCCAGAAGTAGTAGTGGAACCTAAGTGGAACCTCTTGTTGTGCCAAATGAGCTCATCTACTGCCGTAATAACTGTACGTCGTTCCACAAACCGTCTTGGCTCATTATGACATATCTGAGCTCGTTGGGTTGTATAAGTCCGATCGAGACTCTGTTCGGAGATGCTTTCGCATTCAAGGTTGACAGAATTGTCAAGGATGAGCACGCTTTATGCTAGGCGACCCAAAGGAAGATTTCAGGCGTGTGGAGGTTGTTGCTACACAACAGGTGAACGCTCACATCTGGAGTGACCAAATCCGTTACTGCTGGCATGCGACACAGTGCGCCGGCAACCGGCGTAACGTCATGCGAGAGAAGAAACACAAGGAGGTCGAAAGTGTCTTGCGGGAGGAAGGCACCATCTGCAAGTGTGCATCGGCAGGCATTAGCATGCGGGAACTTCTGCAAAGAGTGAGAGCGGCGGATGCTGCGGACAAGAGTCTATAGCAGCTGCATCTCTGCTCTGCGTCCCACGCCGGCAAGTGGTTCGCGCATTGATCGCGCCGGAAAGGCCCTCTACGTGAAAGGCGAGATGCTGCTCGCGTATGAGGTGAGTAATACTGCATTATTTTGAGGTACAGCTCCCTGGGCATGCATTGAAATTTCGCACCGATGCCAGATGGATTGCCATCCGTTGACACCGGGCCAGGGGTATCCGGCTCCAACGGTCGTGTGTGGATATACTGGGACGCGTTGGGCGAAGTGGGTCGCCCAAATTACAGTAAGAGAGCGCCAGTCGGAGAATATCTACCAGCAGAAGGATACCAAGGTCCTTTCGGCCAAGGTGTGTCTGATAACTGCTCTCATCAAGCCAGACTGTAGGTAGAGACCCGTGAGGTGGCACTGGTTAGTAGAGAGTCTGGGTTAGAGAAGGTGCCGCCAATTCTAGCAAACGTTTCTCTCAACTCGTCCGTGGCATTCGTTGAAGTGGTCCCGCAATATACTCTGCACGCAGAAGAGGGTGCAGTCCGTGAATCCTTTGGAAAAGTCAGCAAGGTAGATGTGGGCATCGATCATCATGAGGCAAGACTTGACAACTGGCCAGCATCGAATATCAAGAGGGTCACTGGATCTAGACGCTGTAGGAGGCAACGATTCCTGTCTCCGACGCGTTGAAAGGCCATCTAGACAAATTTTGACGTAGAACAATCGATGAGAGCTGTTTTCTCAGTAGCTAGATAATTATTAGAACTTGAGAGGGGTAGCATATGCTGTGGGAGAGAAGAGATTCAGCTGTGATTTGTTTACCACGTTTGAATTACATCTGTCCCCTTGTACAAGCGCACCTTATTCCTATTAATTCTAGTTCTCGCAGATACGCCTCGACGCAGATCTTACTCACATCACCACTGTTGTCGCGGTTGTCGACCTTCTCATGTGGGCCTATCGACGTATATCGCGTCAAGTTGTCCCACTGCTTAACGTGCTCCCGCACCATTGAAAGGGGAGCAAGAAAACGGAGAGGATCATTTTCCAGAGTAATGATGCGATCCGTCCACCTTGGGATTTTACTAGATGTATAACGGGACGGTTCGCCTGGGCGCGAAGGCTGCGAGGCAGATAATCTCACCGTACTAGAGTGAGCGCTTTACGTACTTGGGTTCGTTCTCACCGTCTGAAAACTCGTATCCAATACCACCAACTAGCCTTCTGGCTCAACTCCGGCTTGGACGTCTGGCGACTAGCGTCAAGCCGCAGCGGCCAATAAACTCGACTCGAATCTGTTGGTGCATGCCTCATTGCTTTCCCCGCTAGCAAATGACGACAGTATCCGAGCAGCCCGATGAGCACATTCTGGAACTCCCTCGATTGGATCTTGCCTTCATTACGAGTAATAGATGATCTGGACGACCGCTTGTCTGACGATGGTGGCTCTGTGGTTTCTACGCATCCCAGGAGCCATTACGGTGGACAGCATCCTCACGACCTTCGGCGCGAAGGGACGAGGCAAAGAGATCGTAAGCGTGAGCAGAAACGTGAACGCGTTAGCGAGACGGAACATCATCACGAAAGAGATCGTCGACGCATTCAAGGGTTGGAACGCGAAAATGCGACTCTCCAACAGAGAGTGACATCTCTCGAAACCGATTTGCGGTCAGCGCGACAAACCATTGCGACGTACACCCTTCTATCCTCTGCCAATCTTCCCTCGAGCTCCGAAGAACCTGTGAACCGCAACGACTGCGCCCCAGACCCTGCTAATTTGCGCACAGCGTATGATTCATTATTGTCGTCTTACTCGCTTACACGTCGCGCCTTGCAAGAGCGTACAGAAGAGGTGGCCAGCCTGAAGTCTTTCCTGAGCAAAACGGATGAGTGGTCTGGTGCCCAACTCATCCAGGCTCTTCATGACCTGAATTTCGAGATTGTCCAGCTGGCGGCCTCCGTTGCGGAGGAGTTTGCGTCATCATTTGATCGCCGTCATGACTTTATTCGTCAATCTGACCGCGACCTCATTAACACCGCACTCGGACCGGCCATGACGGACCTGCTTGCGACGCGCAACCATGCATCAGACCCGACGCTGGTTCAATTCGCTATACAAGGCTGGGAGATCTTCTGTATGGGGCGTGTGCTCAATGCATTCTGTTTCGGACTGCCTGCGGAAATCGATCATTTTCTAAACAATGTCTTCGATCAAATGCACCGAGCAGGTCAGTCCCAAGTTTGCATGTGCTGTACCTCGCTTCATTTTATGCATAGGTCCGCAGCCGACTGCCTCGCGTTGGCGCGCGCTTGCGTATCAGCACGCGCGAGTGCTCTTGGCACCATGGCCGACCGATTCAGGTTCAATGTCTCCTGCGCTGCGCACACTAAAGGAAACCAACTTGCGTGGGATACTCGCTATTCTCGCACTATCCGGCTGCACAGACTCTCGAGGAGTCCGTCGCGACCCATTACGCTCACGTTTCGGTGATTTGCTTGCACGAATAAGCGAGCACGCAGAACACATTGCGAGCGTGGTCAAACAAAGAATGATGAGTAGCGTGTTCGAGACTACTTGGGTGAACGCTAAGGGCGCCCGTCCGCCGACGGGCGCGAGCAAAGATTCAGAGACCAATTGCGAGATGTGGTTCGACTGGCAGACGATGGACAACGTCTATGCAGGCTACGGTTCTGAACACAGCAAGGTGCTCTGTACGGTGGAGTTTGGTCTGATACGTGTGACACGCGTTGACCCCGCAGACAGTGAAGACGCGCAAGCACATATGCAGGAGAGCACGGAGGTGAACGAACATACGGATCTTATTCCAAATGGCAAGGGTGCAGTCATTAATGGCCAAAGCATACATTCGGATGATAAACTGGTACGGAGCATCCTTCTGAAGCCAAGAGTCGTGTTGGAATCCGTTGGAGGGATTCTATGGCATGAGGCGCGATGAATCAGGTGAGAGCTCTATCGTTGTGCGCATCCACGCATCAAGACTGATCGTGCGAACCTATTAGGAACGGCTGCCCAGCGCGATGTTACACTGTGGCTGCATTTATTGGGATCCAACCCATCTGTTCGTGTCATGAAAGCGTGAAACGGAAGAGTCTCATGCCGATTCCATGGCTCCTTTGTTGGCCTAGTTGCTCAAACTCACCATGTGACTCCAGATGCGCTGGCGGACTGGGTATTTCCTTGACAAACCAATACGTATCATTGTTTTGACGTGACATCATTGTCCTCCCGCGTAATGTCCTTGGTCGGCTGTTGTACTACTGCTACCGTAAGCCTTGTTATTTACCCTCCTCCAGCTGGAAAGAATAGATTGGTTTACATAGCATCTATCCACTCCAAATGCACGCACCTCTAACATTAGGTCCGTTCATCAATCCTCCATGGACTGCGCTCTAAGTTTACCCATTGATATGGATTGATCTCTTCTATTTGGTCATCGAGATAGTCTGAGTCGCTAGCGACGACTAGGATATGACCAGTTTTGTCTTGCGAGATACTGAAACCCAACATGGCAACGCGGTTTGACGTGAACATCAGCGACTCGAGCGTAGGACAATGCGCAACAAATAGTTTTGCAAGGCAGCTCCAGTCCGAAAAGTACTCGAGCTGATAGTCTCCAATCCAATGATCAGGGTAATCCTCCTCCATATATGGTAGATTGTAGTTCGTCCCGACATAAATCGGCTCAATGCTGAAATTCCAGGCAAATTGCCGCAAATGTCGAAAACTCGAGAGGTACTTCGCGTATATCCAGGTTGGCTCTGGCCATACACGTGCACGACTATGGCGTTGCAAGGCATTTTGGCGGTATAACAGAGCAAGGCTTTGTAGACTGGGAAAGGCGTCAGCAATGCTGTGGAAGAGCTCTTCGCCGACGTAGTTCAAACCATCGAGTACAAGCCTACGAAGCGGAGCACCATGACATGCTGAAACTAAGTCAAGGATTTTCTCTCGACGCATGCCGTGCACGGTATGTAACTTGAAGTGAGTGAGGGGCAACCGGCCTTTTGACACTTCCGCTGCTTCGCGTATCCATGAGCTCAAAGCCCGCACATTGCGGACTTTGAGGTTTTCGATGAGCACGCGCTCGACCACAAGGAATGGATTGCATGTTGCACGAAAGGGCGTTGGAAGCCAGTCAAAGCCGCTTTGCCTTTGCCCGTAGACGCACAGTGTGCGTATGTTGGGTAACAAACCAAGGAATTTAAGGATTGGGTCAAAATCTGCTTCCCAGAGCTGGAAGCCGATATTGACTAGCGATGATAATGCTGGGAGTCCATGTTTGAGGGCGCAGAACTGACGTCAATCGAATCTCAATGTGCGCAGGGTTGAGATCATTTCGATAGCATGTATCATCCGCTTCGAAAGCGGCACCACACACATAACGATCCGCGTAACATTCGTGATCGATGGTAGTATGTCTTCCACGGCACGCCATATCGGTACGAAGAATTTTATGTGGGCGTCCGACTCCACTTCTAGTCCAGCCTTTGCGAGGATCGACGAATGCCATTCACACCCGATCTTGAAGTCCCGAATGCGGTGAATGATGTCGGGGCGAGAACTAAGAAATGATATGTCATCAAACAGCTTTCGTCTCGTCTTGTGAGCAGCCGAGTGCAGATATTGTCCCCACGCTTCGCTGCCGGGTGGAGGATGGTCATCATTTAGAATCAGCGCTGAATCGAAAACAATTTGACGGCTCTGCGAAAACAAAGTTATATGGTCAATTAAGACAGGTGAAATCTCGTCTTACACACCTTGTACGCGTGAGCGGACGAAATTTCGTAGAAGCGGCGGCAGGTGGCAGCCAGCCGACGGGCGACATCGACATCCCCAAGTTCCATGATATGATGGATCAACTCAATAGGGAGATCTGCAAGGAGCAGCTTTTGGAAAACCGGCTGAGGATGACTGGACAACAACTTTCTGACATCGTCTGTCAGGCGGATGTCAGCCCCCACCAGTATGCGGTGTACGTTGGGATACCAACCTGCTGATCTGAACAGATAACGGAGACTAAAGCTATTCTCTGTCAATTTGTACTTGTCCATAAATGGATCTAGGATAGGAGACGGTATTTCGTACTCAAACAGGACCGATTGTCCGCTGAGTGGAATGGAGGGCACGTACTCCACTCTCGTGGAATATAATCTCAAATGCTCGATATCTTCGAGGAATGAAGTCATACGGGACTTCAGCGACATATACCGCCGCTCATGGCGGCCAGTCAAGTCGAGGGAGCCCTGGAATCCAAGCTCTTATGATGATGTCAGTGAAGGACCTAAGGTCACATACCTCATGAAACCCTTCGAAGGTAGCGAAGAAACGATGCATCTTATAGAAACGGTAGAAACAGTCGTCCTCCACGTGTGGCTCCTCTGGCTCGTCGTTTTGCGTTTGACCTGTTCCCTCTTTGTTCTTCTTGGCGTTAGCCCGATCCCTTTCCATCGAAATCTTAAGGTCGGCTTCTTCGCGCTCAAATAGTCGCATCTCAATGCAAGGTCTCCTTGCTGGTGGTGTCATGTCGACTCACGAGCCTGAGATGCGACTTAAGGCACTCACGGAAATAGCACCTCTCGGCTCTCTGCTCGCTCTCCCTCTGCATTTCTCGTTCATCTTCGGAGTCCATTATGATCAGCTTGTTTAATTGTGAAATGATGGCAAAGCAAGCAGCTGATGGTGACAAAGCGCGTGTTCTAGATTAGCATTTGAGCGCAGACCGCTTAGAGGATCGGAGGAGGGTGCAAAGCACTTCATCTGCAACTCACTGGACAGTTATTGCTACCACTGCGGCTACAAATATTATGCCACATCACATTATGAAGAGAAGTCAAGCTTGCAGGTGTTTTATGGTGAGGTCGCATCAGCTTTTAGCCCTCCCCTTCAGCGCTTTTTCCCGTCCAAAAAAGGTACTAAGCCCGAAAAGCGTGGGGTTCTGCACTTATCTTAATACTTTCCGACGATTTCTGGGGGCTTTTTTCTCTTAAATCCTGGAAAAAGATGACAGGAAACAAAAAGGTGAAGTTGAAGATTTTCATGATGCGATTCTCCATGGCCACTCGTGCATCTCTACTGAACAACCTTTTCGTGCGTTCTTTTGCTTACTTCCTTCATTAATGCGACCCAATACACGTACGAGTTGTGGCTTCGTTGCTAAATGGCATGTAAAACGTCTTTCTATGATCGATCGTTCGCAAATCGTTTGATCATGGTCACAGAAGTCGACCAATGCAATCTCCGTTTGCATAAATCGATCGGAAGAACGCTACACATACAAGGACAATAACCTCAACGCACTATGAATACAATCACTGCTATACAATGCTGCCCGTGTTTCCTCCCCCACCGCTCAGCGGGTTCTTGTGACACGGTGAGTAACCTCGATGTCCTCCTCGACAAACTCGGAGCCGCTCGCAGCACCCTTGAGAGGACCTGTCACCTCTTCACGTTCATAAACCGCGTCGACAACGTCGCCGTCCGACATGGCGGCCGTGTTACTTCCCTGCTCGCTTGGGTCGACAGAAGATGAACCGGTGGCATGATGCCTCTTCTTGACGTGTTCCACGGTGAGCTGCTGAAGCTCAGGTAGCTTCAATTCGGAGCGGTCAGCCTATACGACACACTTAGTCAGCTGTCGACCGAGAACAGCGGAAGGACAGTGGCCGACCTTCACGTCCGCCTCAGAATCACTAGCGAGGTATTCGTTCCATCCGGGCGCATTTTCGATGGTGGTTGATGTCTCGCCTTGAATCCCTTTGAGGTTACGTTGCTTCTCGGTCTCGAGAGTCTGTGGGGATGCAGTCAGTACGCAGCGCGGTTATGGTTTTCACCCAGCGCTCACCTCAGGATCGTTGCCATGAGTGGTGCTCGAGTAGAAGCGGGGTGCATATGCTGCGAAGGCCAGCTTGGGTGCGACGGCAGCGCGTCTGGCGGCGGTGCGGGCAGCGAGGGACATGATGGATGTGGACATTATGATGGGTGTCGTAATGTGAGGATTGAGAACTGTACGCGATAAAACAGAGACGCTAATAAAGGCGATGATACAGTCTATGCGGGGATCGTGAGTGCGGGATGAGACGGGCTAGGGGCTTTTGTGTGGCCATGTCGCGGCGGGATGCTGATATGGACGCATGACGTCCCTCCGCGGTGGATCATGACGTCACCCGCCTTCTCCCAGACTTCAGCCGCCTGCGCCACGTGCCATCACCATCCTCGACGGAGGGCCAATCAGTAATCCACAAAAACTGCGCATAAGTATATAGACCTCTCGTCGAATACACCTACTCATGCGATGACGTTAACCATTGGACCAGAATAGAACATGGTCGACGGATGGAAGATCTGCACTGCCGGAAATAGGACGTAGCTTCCGTCTGTTTCAAACGCGTCTCAGTCTGGGCTCTTCTCGGACAACTCAAACTCTGATACGTCCTATCATGCAGTGCGTCAGCAAATCCATACTCCGGCACTTTTTTAATATATCTGCAGCTAGGAACTTGTTGGAGAACGGAATGCCAACTCGTTCGCCACATCGAGCTCAGAACGATTAATACAGGACCTTCACAGCAAACCTGAATGCGCCATCGCGAAGGGAAACTGCGCATGCGCTCGGCCGCGGAAGTTGTATAAATTATGAGTAGGAGTTAAGAAGCCTCCAACGGCTCCCCTGACAAGGCACCTAGGCCGCTCTGGCGTGCGAGCTGCTCATGTGGCTCTGACTTCAGGCGGGCGAGGCGATGCTCATAGGCCAGCTCGGAAGCGTCCACCTCACACATCGGGAGTTTTGTCATTTAATCCGGGACAAAAGTACTATTGTAGCGAATCTCATTGGTCAATTCAAATTTTGTCTGTACTTTTCTCCCGGATTAAATGACAAAACACCCGATGTGTCAGCTAACCATGCCAAGTGTGAGCTGAGGTGTTGAGATAAGAGCTCGCGCCGTAGCTTTCTTGGCTCACCGCCGGGCCACGCGAGGCTAGTCAACTACGAAGGATTGAATCACACGTTGGCGTGCATGAGTGCTTAATGCATGCGGCATTTTGTCGCCATAGTTCCATCCTCGCTCGTGCGGACGCTCGCTTGCATCTAAAACTTGAGCCACTCGCAGCACGGTGTCGATTACGTTTGTGCATGCTGACCACAGAACTCGTGGCTACCGCACCTTGGCCACATGCGGCAATACATGAATGCGAATGCAGCTGCGAACGAGGGGAGGGGGCACGATATCAATCCCGCGCGGAACTGCTCTTGCGACGTGCGTGCTGTGTCTCATTTCATAGCAGTGGTATTGCGCAATAAGGATAACTTAACGATCTCTGTATCCCGACAGTCTATGGTTCTAAGCTACGGTCGTAAATGCAGCGAGTATGATACAATAAAAAGCAGTTATAAGACAATGCCGGGGCAATAAAGTAGTCACCCGATCCTCTGATACGAAGGCGTCATGACGTGCAGAACTTGCTCTGCTAAATCGATGTCTGGGAGGGAGAGACGCTGGCGAGGTCGTCTCGCATGGAAATGTATGCATAGTGCATATGTATTATGGGTCGGCCGGGTATACCAGGGTATACCAGCAAGCTGAAGGTGCCCGGAGGTCGGAACATGGACAAGATGGGATGATGCGCTAGTCTTCGACGCCTCAATGCGATGAATGCGATGGCTGAGGCACCAAAGTCTCCGAGAACGAGTCAGAGAAGGAATGCTCTGGATACATCCGCTTGAGGTATCGATATTTCCGCAATTTGTACAGAGCAAGGGTCTCTGGAGAGCAAAGAACAAATTACCATGCGATTCGCAGTAGCGTATGAGGGGACCAGATATTGGAGCGATGGGCCGACTTGGACGCACCATTACGAATGTACTCCCCAAGCTTGATCGCCTTCTCAATCTCCTTGGGATCTTCCAGAGCCCTGTTCTCTGGAGGTCATTGAGTCATTCAGATCTGATCAAATACTCAGAAGACTTGATACGCACTGTCGAACAGCCCACGAAGCTTCCCGTGGAAGTTATACCTGTCCACACCTGTATGAAACCTCGGCTCGAAGCTCCTGAGCGGCGATCTCTACTTACGCAGGATCAGGGTAATCTCTTCCCAGTCTATGCAGCTCCTTGTACAGAGATAGAGCCCGCAGACGGGTCGGCTTGCTCGCCATCATGGGTGCGTTCGAGACCTGCTCGGAGTGCTCGTGTGAGTGAGGCACCTGCCAGTGCGAGCGTTCCTTCGGCATTGGATTTAAGCGCCTACCCCAGATTTCCTATTCATGTGACCGTGTTAATGAAGATCGAGCTCGTGCCACCGTGGTGCCACCTCTTAAGTAGGCCACTGCCGTCGAACGACGAGCTGGTCGTTATCAGGCTTCACGTACACTCTCGTGGCATCTATCTCTTTCCTGTCTGCTAGTCTCTCATCAATTTTGACACCGACATGACCGTAGAGAAGGCAGAGGTCATCCATGAACCGCTCCCAGTACCAGACATCCCGGAGAAGCTCGCGCAGCCCCCATCTCAGCTGACACTCTCACCAGAGCATCAAAAGATGTACGATGGAGTCCTGGCTCATTTTCAAAGCGAGGAGTATGCTTTACCCAAAGTGGAGCAGGGAGAACTAAGAGAAGAGGAGAAGTTCTGGCTGGTACGTGTAAATTACATCTCGATCTGTACATTGTGCGAGGGAAGATGTCTGGAGTCGTTACTCTCTCGCATATATATATATATATATGCGTTTGCATATACGGCAACAATTGATGACGTTGTGGGAATATCTGGAAGGCTGCTACATAGGATTCATCGAGTTGCACTTAACATTGCTGTCGGCATCGTCACTTGGCGCGCATCTTGCATCTTTTCGATTATATTACCCATTGCTCAATGACTCACTGCAACCTTTAGTCTTGCGAATGCATGCTCAGGTACGGCTCCTTTCACACCGGGAGCAGCGGTAGTTCTCCTCTCTGGCTTTCCTCCGCGATGCATCCTCAACCGCTGGTGGTTAGTGTCACATTTGACTAACGTGTATACAGATACCTCCGTGCAACAAAATGGTCATCAACGAAGGCTGCCATCAAGCGTCTGGAAGAGACGCTCGTTTGGCGTCGGGAGTACGGTGTTTATGATTTGATCACGGCTGAGCACGTCGAGCCGGAGGTGAGTAGCGTTTCGCAATTCCAGATATGCATTCTCACTATGAATTGCAGGCGGTGACCGGGAAGATGTTCCTGTTCGGATATGACGTAGACGGACGACCGGCGCTCTACATGCGCCCTAGCAGGCAGAATACCGAGGAGAGCATTGTTCAGATGCATTATCTGACCTGGATATTCGAGCGCGCGATTGATCTGATGGGCCCGGGTGTCGAGTTCGTTCATCCCAACGCATGGCCCTTTTTATGGCAAAACTAACTAACTACTTTCCTCGTGCGGTTGTGCAGGAACATCGCTCTGATGGTTGACTTCGCTGACAAGGCCAAGAATCCGTCTCTCGCACAAACACGTAATGTAAGCAGTGTTTTATGGAACGTTTTTGCCAGGCGGTATTAAGGCTCTCCCTTAGACCCTCAATATAATGCAAAACCATTGTACGCCCTTGGTCTTCCTCTCGCTGTGCTGCTTCGATAAGATCATCCTATAGATCCTGAACGACTCGGGCGCGCCTTCATCACCAACGTCCCATTTCTGGTCAACGCCTTCTTTAAGGTGATCTCACCCTTCATCGATCCCGTCTCGCGCGAGAAGATGCACTTCAACCCACAATGCGTGAAGGAAGGCCTATTCACCCCCGATCAGCTCGTGAGCGAGTGGAACGGTGACTGCGTTTTTGAATACCAGCACGACCGCTACTGGCCGGTGTTGATCAGGATGTGTACGGAGCGACGAGAGAAGATGATGGCTACGTGGAGGGAGCTTGGCGGGGAGGTGGGCTTGAAGGAGTGGGACGTGAAGTGCGCGATCGAGGTGAATACTCGTCCTGGTGATGATATGTGTAAGAGTGCTGAGCGGGAGGTGGAGGTGGAGGTGGAGGTGGAGGCGAACGTCGAGGTGGACGTTGAAGCATACTAGATCTAGGTGCCAGAGATGCACTGAAGGTTGACTCACATTTACTTCTCGTTGCTAATCGACTGGACTAATACTACTCACGGACTTGGGCGTAGACATAGGTGGTGTGATAATCTGCATGAGGAATATATTCTTGGCATCTTGGGTCACATCACTTCATCTAGACTCGAACCTATCTCTCGAGATGAGAAAGGAGCTTCATAGGCAGATTAGTTTTAAGTATTGTCCCAGGTTGGCTTCAAGCAGTGGGGCCACAAGTGGCAGTGGTCACAATGCCATATTTCGCCGAAGCGCGCGCAAGAACACTGCGTTACGCTCTGTTACGCTGTGACCCGTCCTCAAATGGCACGTCACTGGAAGTGACGGGCCCGCACAAGTCTCTGAGCCGCGTCTCATATCCTCAGGCTCCAACATGTCCGAACCTCAAGCTTTGTACGCCACTGACGAGGTATGGTTGCCAACCGTCGTGAAGGCGTCTTGCTGATGCTTTGCAGTATGGTCGTCCTTTCATCATTCTCCGAGAACAAGCCAAAAAGACTCGCAGCCATGGTGTAGAAGCGATCAAGGTGTGAGCTCTTTCGCCTCGGAATTATATACTCGATACTCATGAGAGAACGGAAATAGTCACATATTTTGGCTGCACGTACAGTCGCCAACATTATACGAACATCTCTGGGCCCGCGAGGTGAGTGCGGCTCCAATAGCTTGTACTTGCATTCTGAACGTGTTCTTGCCTTACAGGCCTCGACAAAATCCTCATTTCCCCGGACGGCGATATCACGGTGACCAATGATGGCGCAACAATATTGAGTCAAATGGAAGTTGAGCACCAAATCGCGAAACTTTTGGTGCAGTTGTCGAAGAGTCAGGATGATGAAGTCGGGGATGGCACGACCGGTGTAGTCGGTGAGTGTAGTTTTCACACTCCTGTGAAACTCTGTTGACGCTGTTCTAGTCCTTGCGGGCGCGCTGCTTGAGCAGAGTGAAGGATTACTGGATCGGGGAATCCATCCCATCCGGATCGCGGACGGGTTCGATAGGGCTTGTGCTGTCGCAGTCGAGCACCTCGATCGAATTTCCGACACCGTTGAGTTCTCCCCATCCGACACGTCAAATCTTATCAGGACGGCGCAAACGAGTCTGGGCAGCAAAATGTTCGTCTGGTCTCCTGAGTCTCTAAGGATTGTTCGACTGACGTCCTATGCAGCGTCTCGAAGGAGAATGAGAAGTTTGCTGAGATCGCTGTGGAAGCTGTCTTGTCCGTCGCCGACTTCGAGCGCAAGGACGTACCCTTCGACCTCATCAAGGTCGATGGCAAGGTCGGCGGGTCACTAGCCGACACGACGCTCATTAAGGGTGTGCTTGTCGACAAGGACATGTCTCACCCACAGATGCCGCACACCGTAACAGACGCGAAAATCGCCATCCTCACATGTCCGTTTGAGCCACCACGACCAAAGACGAAGCACAAGCTCGACATCACCTCTGTCGAGGAGTACCGGCATCTGCGAGAGTACGAGCAGAGCAAGTTCCACGACATGATCAAGCTTGTCAAGGATAGCGGCGCGAATCTGGTGATTTGTCAATGGGGCTTTGACGACGAGGCGAATCATCTGCTCATGCAAAACGATCTGCCCGCCGTGCGATGGGTAGGAGGCCCGGAAATTGAGGTAAGCTGCGTGGGCTAATGTGTGATTCATCTAACACGTAATATGTAGCTTATTGCTATTGCCACAAATGGACGTATCGTGCCGAGGTTCGAAGATCTCACTCCGGAGAAGCTCGGCCATGCAGGCATCGTCCGTGAAGTTTCCTTTGGCACAACGCGTGACAAGATGCTTGTCATCGAGAAGTGTGCAAACCCGCGGACAGTAACGATCTTCGTGAGGGGCAGCAACAAGATGGTATGTTTCAGACTTGTACAATGAAATTGTTTACCTGAGTGAACTGTGGTCAGATCGTCGATGAGGCTAAGCGCGCCCTGCATGATGCGCTCTGCGCGGTGAGGAACATGGTCATCGACAATCGGGTTGTCTATGGTGGGGGCGCGGCCGATATAAGCTGTTCACTGGCAGTTGCGAAGGCTGCAGATGAGGTGCGCTTGCTGTCGTTTATTTGTACCACCGTGAGCGACTAACGTCATTCATATTTCCCAGATCCCGTCTATTGAGCAATATGCTATGCGCGCATTCGCATCGGCGCTGGACGCGATCCCTCTCGCTCTTGCAGAAAACAGCGGTCTCTCACCCATCGAGACGCTTGCGGAAGTCAAAAGTCGACAGGTGAGAGAAGGCAATTCGGCACTGGGTATCGATTGCCTTGGCAAGGGCGACAATGGTGAGTGCCACGACTTATGTCCTAGAGATCCCTATTCGTCGCTCACGTCACACGTTACAGACATGAAGAATCAGTGGGTTTACGATCCGCTGATCGCGAAGCGTCAGCAGTACTTGCTCGCTACGCAGGTTTGTATTCGAATGTTTGTTTTATCGGACATTTGGCTAATGTCATTGTCTCATTCAGCTTGTTCGGGCAGTCCTCAAGATAGGTCAGTCTCATCTGTCTTCTACTGCATCACTGTTTTTGACATGCTTCGTGTTTCAGACGATGTAATCACTGCTGGAGAAGCAGAGGACTAGTTCACAGTACATGTAGTAGTATAGTGAAAGGATGTGACGCTCCATGCTCGCATTGAGGCCTTCTCACTGCTTGGTCATCGCAGAGTGATCGGAAAGAGCATGTATCGTGCACCAGGTAGCTATCATAATATACATTCACTGCGAATTTCTTTGAGCTCGAATCAGTTCTCGACACGGTTTTTACAGGTTCATTTGCATTTTATGCGAAGCAAACTTTAGGATGTACACTGTAAATGGTATCATCTGGGCTATCTGGATGAGCTAGCTACACATAATATGCAACGGTCGGATGCATTGTATCAAGTGGAACGTCAACTGTACGAAACTGAAAAAAATGCAAATCACTGCAAGGATTGCAATCAACTGGTGAGCAGATGATGGTGTATAAGAGACGTACAAGGAAATAGTCCGGTACACGCCGTGTGACAAGGGGCTCGCCCACCCGGGGAGCAGGGTCGAATTGCAGGCTGTTGTAAGGTTGATCAACAAGCATCTCCAGTCATTCGAGAAAATCACGTACAAGCTATACGACAGCTTCTCATCCATCTCCATGATGGCTGCTTGATTTCCACATCGGTAACAGTAGTTCGGTGCCGAGAAGATTGTTACAACGTTCCGATCTTGGCTCCAGTTGTATCCTGACAGAAATCATGAATGACCATTCGTACGATCCGCGAATGATACCAGCACGCACCCTCCATGATCAACTGGTGCGCCCGCGCGACCAGAGTGAGGCCATTGTTGTGATTGAAAGCCTCGCTAATGTCCTGACCGAAAGTGTATCCTGCTCCACGCGGCGAGATACCCCACCCACATCGGTCATCGGGATCAGACCACAGCAAATCACACATTGGCCCTTCGTGAGGCACCTCCTGTACACGATCGATCCCGCGAACGTGGTCGAGGGTGTCAATGGACGGTGAGAGACCTCCGTGCAAGCAGAATATCTATTACGGGCAGCATCCCTTCAGTATCCGACAGCATGTACAGGCAAGAGCATAACTTACTTGATTCTCAATCAGGGCGGTAAGTGGGAGGTAGTCGAAGAGGTCCGTGAAGTACCTCCAAACATTCGCATTCCCGTACTTTCGCAGGCACTCGTCGTAGAAGCCGTACACCTGGGTGATCTGCCGCGACTCATGGTTCCCTCGTAGGATGGTCACACGATCGCGGTAGCGCAGCTTGAGGGCAACGAGCAGAGTGACGGTCTCGACCGAGTAGTAGCCTCGGTCGACGTAATCACCCATGAAAAGATAGTTGGTGTCTGGTGAGTTCCCGCCGATCCGGAAAAGCTCTGAGAGGTCGTGCTGGATATGCAACGCGCGTTCGTTGCGGGAGCGTGTCAGCGCATCGACATAGCAATCGATCTTGTAATAGCACACGCACGAATTGCCCATGAATATCTCCACAGACAGTCACCGGACATCTCACAGGCTGGACATTGGACTCTTCCATCAAGATCTCTCGAGTCTGTAGATAGGTTCAGCACCGTTCCGACCAGTAAGCTGCTAGGCAATGCCAACCCGTCCCGAGGTGGCGACCCCCGCTATATTCCACATACCTTGTCGCAGAGCTTCTTGACATCAGCCTCAGATAGTTGCTTGCATTGGCTGAGCTGTGCAATCCAAGCGTCAATTTCCTGCTCCATGTTGTTTTGCGCGTCGATGTGGCAGGGGAGGTAAGACAGATAAATTGGGTTGAGGGACGAATGAATGCGGGCAAAGTCAGCGCATGATGGACCCGTCACAGCGTGACCGATTTTTGTGATCATACATGTGACGTGCTGACTGGGCGCTTGCTATATAAGTCCTGACTCCCTTGCATCGGCAGCGCCTTGCCCGCTGCCACTCCTTGCAGATACCCATCACCGTCTGTACCCGTTTTTGTGGTTGTAAAGACCAACAGGACGCCATAATCAGCGCTTTATTGCTGCCGAGAAGCTTAGACCTCGCTCAGAATGCCAAAGGTATGTCAATCTCATACAATTATGTGGCCCTCATGGTACTGATGGTCCATTTGCCTGTAGAATAAGGGAAAGGTTCGTATATGCACTGGATAGACCCTCCTCATTACATTACTAATGTTGTGTCTCATAGGGAGGAAAGAACCGGAGACGTGGAAAGAATGAGAACGACGATGACAAGCGCGAGCTCGTCTTCAAGGAAGATGGCCAGGAGTACGCTCAAGTGACGAAGATGCTTGGTAATGGGAGATTGGAGGCGCAATGTTTCGATGGTGAGAAGCGATTGGCGCATATCAGGGGTAAGATGCGGAAGAAGGTACGTCTGTACGACTTACGTGCGCTGAACCTCCCTTAACATCTCCACTGCTTTGCGGCGCTTACAGGTTTGGATTAATCAAGGAGACATCATCCTCCTGTCCTTGCGAGATTTCCAGGATGACAAGGCAGATGTGATTGTGAAGTACACCGCTGACGAAGCTCGGAGCTGTACGTTGTATCATTTTCTGTGTGACCGTATTTACCGACTGACGCCATCCGTTTGTATTCCACAGTGAAAGCGTACGGCGAGCTTCCCGAAAATGCCAAGATCAACGAGACAGAGACATTTGGCGACGAGGAGGGTGAATGCACCTTCGAGTTCGGCGACGAGGGCGAGGTGGATATTGATGAGATTTAAGGTGTACTTATGTCCTCTTGTATCCTTGATCGCTGTGGATAGGACAACATCACTGTGGCGGATCTCTGTATCTTTAGCTTCGGTGCTGAACGGTCTTGTCAGACGTCTAGATTTTCCATCTGGCACTTTCACTGCGCTTTCTCTGTGTTCTCATTTCTAGACTAGCATCATGTTTTCGTTGTACGCGCACGATACTATACATATGAATTTATGCAATTCCTTACTCTAAAGGTGCACTTAATTCTGCTGTATGTGAGAGTGGAATCCGATGTTAACAGGCCCACGAAACTACGTCAAGTGCATGTATTAATATTCATGATCGCAAAGAAATCCCACAAATAGCACATGAACGTTCGTGGGTAGCGTAAATGTTGAGTACTAGTGTTCACAAGCAGGTGTGCGAATAGGTATAGTGCCTTTGGGTGGTCAGGGCCTACCTCCCGGGGTCACTTCCTGCCATTCATTATCATGAGGACGGTCTTCATGTCGGGGACGCACTCTTTCACCTTCATCAAATACTCGACGATGTCTCGTGCGTCGGATTGTACGGCCATTCTGAGCATCGCGACAGTAGGCTTGATCCTGTCTTCCAGCCTTCTTCTCTTCACGCTACGGTATTCCGGAGGAATTACGTCCCCTTCCGATCCCTGCCCTGTTACCGCGCGATGGGACCCATCTGCTTGTCGAGATCCTTCACCAAGATTACTACTATCTGTTCCCCTCCTCTTCTCTGCCCGTACCCGATCGTCCCTCTCGATCAACAAGCGTACGAGCCTCAGATCCTGCCGCCGAATGGCGACCTTCACGGCCAATCCGTCCTTGTGCTGCGGAGATGCTCCATGGTCAAGTAGAAATCGGACCAGAGGGATGTCCCCCACTTGCACGGCCTTAGTAAGAGCGTACCCATCGAATGAATCAGGACGAGGTGGTGGGATAGACTCATGACTGAACAGGTATTGGAGGAAGGGGATAGGTTCACCGCCTTCCGTCCAACCGCCACCTTCATCCGACCTTCTCTTGCGTTTTTCAGCTTGGTTTGTGTCAGATCGCGGAGCCAAACTGCGGAAGAGACGTCTAGGGAGCTCTGTACCCATCATTTTGTGGGCAAGGTTCATAGTAGGAAAATGGGGATTGCGAAGAACTGCATGCAGGACATTCTGATTGCACAAAGGGTATCGCAGGACTGTTGAAACAGGATTGGCTCGCGGGTGTCGCTCTACCTCTGCTAGGCAGCGTCCAACGAGGTATTCTGCATGAACCGTGTAAGGTGCCGACTTGAAAACAGAGTAGAGATGCTTGCAGGTGAGAGGTAAAGACGAGGATAACGCAGTGTACTGGATGTCATACAAGATCTAACATAGATACTACGCATTAATGAGGGGACTGCAAAAGCCTCGGCTGAATCGACCTACCTCTACTGGCAGCTTGTCTAAAGTCAATCCGTCCATCATGCAAATATCTGCTCGTGCTGATTCTCAAGTGATAGCCTTCAAGTTGCCCCGGACGACTCTGACTCCAGTGCATGTCCAGCGAGCAATGGAAAGCTTCTTGTAGAAGCGAAGGCAACCCCCTCGAGCACCAGCACTTGGTTTTCTTGCAATGTGGCTTCAAAGCTTCAAGTTCGAAGGTGCGGCATCCTGCGGCATCTCGTGAGACCCAATTAAGATCAGAAAACGGTCATGTGATCACGCGCAACCGCATTGCACCAGACGCGTTCAGAACGATGGACTCGGCTGAGGACCCGGGCAACTCTCATATAGGAGTGTCGCAAAATAGCATATTTTATTTGAGGGGCCCCAAATCGTGATTTCCTTGTCGCGGATTGCATATTTCAGACCTCGGAGGCCCCAAAAAGCTCCAAAAAGTCCCTTATCCTTATCGCAACTTAGCATATTTGGGGACCCGATGGGTGTCGGAGAGCCTCTCGATTTAGGCATGTCCGGGTGGCTAACCACTGGTATTGATCGACAAGGCCACCATGTAGCCATATATACTGACATAAAATAAATAATTTCCTGACCCGATAACCATCATCATGACGGTACATGCGCGTGTTATGCAGATTTGTGACATCCAAGCCTAATTTCCTGCTACGACTTGTGTAGCTCTCCTTCCCCTGAGTCTCACTTGAATCTCATGAAGCTGTATTCTTACATCTGGAAGATACAGAATCTGCAGCTTGCTCATCAAGACCTTCTGGTTCTGATCCTAAATGAACAACAAAGAATATTTCATGATGACATTGAATGCATTTGTGACTTTTTCTTCAAGATGTCACCCCTTGTGATGATGGTATCGACAAACATCAGCTTGATACACACTCAATGTAGCCTCTTTATTATCACAACATCCTTATGTGAGAGTAGTGGGCGATCTCGCAAACGAATCCGTATGTTTTTGACTCTGATGTAGCGTGACATATGGACGTGACATATCATTACAGAACGTCACATAGTCACGGGTCTTGTCGCACTTTGCATACTTTTTTTTTTTTTTTGATACAATTTATATACCGCCGAAGGCGGTCGGGGGTGTGTCTAGGTACAAGTTTGACGTAGGACTACCTAGGTAGGAGCATATATAAAGGTGTGAACAGATCACGTCCGAGTCAGAACCTAACCAGGATCGTAAAGTACAGATGCCTTGGTCCAGGCATCGCTGTCCCGAAGAAAAGCGGCCAGAGTGGACCAAGCATCTTTGAATCGAAACAAGTCCGGGATGCGCGGGTCTTTGTTGGGGCGAAAAAGGTGCCGTCGAGCGTGCACATAAGACGGGCAGCCGAGAAGAAGGTGGTCGCGGGTTTGGATGCCAGGATGTTGGCATCGGCAGGAGGTAGACTCCTCAGGTACAAAGCGGTGATAGTAGCTGCCGATGTGGCCATGTCCAGTGAGGAGGTGGCATACTCGGCACTCCACATTACGGGGGTCGTCGTTGTCTTTGAAATAGCGATGCAGAAGCATGCTGGGCTTGGTCGTGACAGCGGCACGGAACTGGGAAGGGTGGCACTTTGCATACTGGAGGCCCGAAAGTTTGCATATTTCAGGCTCATTTTGGAAGATTTTTGCGACACTCCTATATAGGAGTTGCCCGGGTCCTCTCGGCTGATACATTCGTACAAAGTTGAACTCAGTGGAGTCCCATCTAACCAATCGTGACAAGACGCAGTGCAAATCACGATACGGGCTCTGCCTTTCAAAGCGTGGAGGGGTTCGGCAAACTGTTACCATTGAAATGCTGATAAAAACATTTCGTTCTGGTCGCGGGCAACTGTCGATAGTTACTACACTGTTAGAGAAATAGACTCATGAGGAATCGGGGAGCGAGCTCATACTCATCGCATTACAAAGTAACGTACAGCTCGTGAATGCATGTCGGAAACTCGTAGATACCACGAAAACAGATACCGCTACGCTTCCATGTGCCTCGTATCGTGCTCCATTTTCTCCGAGCCGGACTCAATACCCACAGCGCTTGGTCCGTGCTCATCTCCGAAGACTTCTGCCATTTCTTCCAAAGTTTTCCCTGCAAGTCACGACTGAGGACCACGTCCAATATGCAGGGAACATCACGGGTCTCACCTTTCGTCTCGGGGAAGGTGAAGGTTATGATCAGAAAGTCAACAAAGTTCAAGCAAATAAAGAGGATGTAGTATCTCCAGCTGATGTTCTCGATAGCTAAATTAGACACCTGTGCAATACAGATTGAGCATGTACACCGAGCGGATGGCTGATTGGTGTGATATACCTGTGAGAATAGGACATTGAATGCCCAGTTGGCACATGTGGCGACACTCGTCCCGATGGACCGTGTCTTCGTGGGAAATACCTACAATGAGCCTTCTATGAGTATTTCGTTTGCGACGGACTCGACAGACTTACCTCGGACGCCAGCACCCAGCTCACAGGCCCAAAGCTAAGAGAAAATATTATACTTGTCAGGAATATCATCGCAATACCAGCCCTCTGCGCAGGATGGTTATCCGATTGGCCAGGAATGAAGCACGCGACGATCGCAGTCAGAATCGAGTAAGTGACGACGAAGCCACCCGCTCCAAACATGAGCGGCTTCTTCCTACCGACCGTGTCGAGGACACAGGTGATGAAGCTGAGAGATAGTGAGCAGCACGCCTAATTTTGCGGTGACAGGAATACTGACATGAAATTCGTGATTGGACCCACCGCACCGTAGATACCTTGCACCAGCAGTGATTGACCCTCAGTCAGTCCAAGCGACTTGTACATTGAAGGACCAAAATAGTTGATGACTATAGCCAATCAGCAAGGTTCATCTCGCGATTCAAGACAGACCAGATATTACCGTTGATCCCGGAGAATTGACCGAACACTTGCACTCCGACAGCCACGAGCGTCCGCTTCAACATTGCATCCGTAGCCCAGAGGTCGCTCAATCTCCTCGTCCTGATAGCCATCTCCGCCTTAATGGCTACTTGCATCTCCAAGAATTCTTGGTCCGAGACTTGCACTTGCTCAGCGGTCTTCGCTCCATGCAATTTGCGCACGACAAGACGAGCCTCTTCGTACCGTCCCTTCTCAAGTAGCCATCTCTATAATCAATGCAAAGTGCACTCAGCAGCATTCTCATAAGCACACCGATGCGTACATACCGGAGAGTACGGACAGAACTGCACTCCGACAGCAAGTAGGAATGCAGGCACGAGCTGGGAGAGGTCAGTACAAGGCATAGAGAGATTGCCTGCGAAGGACGTGCCTGAAGGCCGAGGGCAAGGCGCCAGCTGCTATTCCCAGGGAGGTACTGACATCCGTAGCCAACCTGAGACTTCATTTCATACAGTCCCGCTGCAAGAACATAAGAGTTCGCACCCAATTTGCCACGACCATTCCAATACCGAGCATCTGCTGTGCGAGACCCACGATGAAGCCACGCATTTTAGGCGGCGCGATTTCGGTCTGCGACAGTCCGCTTCAGAGCGACACTTGTCAGAGCGCTATACTCTACATACGTTGTAGAGGGGCACAGTCATCGACAGCATGCTGAATGCATACCAAATCAGAAAATATATCTTTAGTAGCTGCAAGAATGCGCACCCAATGGCGAAACCGGCGACGATACGTCCAATCAGCATGCAGGCAAAGTTGTTGGCACCGGCTTGCATCGCACATCCCCAGAGGGCTACTGTTGCGCCTAGCTGCGATCCGGATACCGTCAGGGTGGCAAGCTGCAAGCATGATGTCTATCACAATTACCTGTATACTAAGTTTGCGTCCGATGCGATCGTTCGTCCTGTCATCAACTGTTGAGACAGTGTCAATGGGTCGTAGAGATGCGCAAGACGTGCCATCCCGCGACAGCAGCCCCAAAGAAACATCCACCTGAGTGAGAACATATCAGCGGCATACGTTGACTGCCTGTGAAAGAGCCCACCGGTGAAAGTAGAGACAACAGCTCCAGAAAGACTACTATAATTCCCGGGATCGTTCACAAAGTCCTCAAACTGGCTGAATGATATGACGGAGGAGATGATACCACTTTTGACCAATCAGGATATGAGGCGCCGTGTTTACAGACAAGAGTAAATAGCTGTGAATGGCGCTGACCTGTCATATCTACAGACAACCCAGAAAGAGTAAGAATCAGAGCTATTGCTCATTTTGTTGATATCGTGAAGTCGACCTACCCGAATAAAAATGAGCCTGCAATGAAGGAAGTCCGGTCAACATGTCAATGAAACTATCTATTCACGGTTGAGAGATCCTCACCAATGGCGCAAAATACTGCGATGAAGATGTTATACAATCGAGCCATCCTAGCGTAGCCTGAAAGACAGCTGCCGACGTTGTAGTGATAGACGTCAAAAGAAAAGGAAGCAGGAGGTTTCGAAGCAAAGCAGGGCCTCTCTGCATTATGCACCGATTGCACCAGGTGCAGGAAAATTCTCGGAGTCTAGGGCCGGGGAACGAGGCATGATGGCCGCCTATTTCTTAGGCAGCGTAACGAACCAGGCCTAAGATTCATCCAGTCGAGAAACGAATAGGGCAGTGAATGGTCACGAGTGCAGTAGAAGAAGAAGAAGCCGCAGACTGGGATATGTTGCACACGGCCCACAGCGGCCCGCCTTTGCCGCTCTGGGTCCGAACGAGAAGCGTGGTCCTAATCATGGTACATGTCCGAGTCGGATCCAACTCTGATGTTTGATCGCCGCAGTGGAGTTGCGGGGAAATAGAGTAGGCTTGGGGCGGAGGGGAGGCGTAGCCATACCTCTCCAACAACTATGTGAACGCAGAACGCAGACAATACAATTATTTTGCCTGCTGTCTGATTAACATTCCAACGTGACGTCCGACTTTGAACATTCTCTACTCCTTCTGCTCCTTGGCTTCAGGAGGGAAGTAGAGAGAAAGAAGATCCCTGATAAACGAGCCCATCAGGGGGTGTCGGCTAGCCAAGGGATCACCACTTACTCGTAGACATGCTTATCAGTGTTGCTCCATACAACGAATATAACTCGATCCAGCTGAAACGGATATGATCAGATAAGGCATGAATAAAATGTGTGCAGAGACTGTGGCCTACGATATCTTCATCTGATGAGTCTAGAAACTCTCGTACGGTATTCAATGCAATGTGAGTGGCGTCTTCAATTGGATATCCGTATACACCAGTAGAGATGGAAGGAAATGCCTTAGGATGGAAGGATCAGCGATGCTACAATCATGTATTGGATATCGACGCGCACGATGTGCTTCAGCGACTTCTCCGTTGCGATTTGCAAGCTCGTCTTGTAGCACGATGCCAATTGTTGAGCCTTCCCGTCAGCTTTGGAAAAAGAGTACACAGGGCCGACGGTATGGATTACATATTTCCTAATTACCATCTCAGGACGTGACCTGCTGCATCAGGAAGCATCGGCGTACGAAGGTAGTTCGTATCCTTTCGTGATCTTCGCATCACCAGTGTCACAGCCATCGAGGGTGCGGCCTGTGGCAACGTCAATGCAAGCACAGAGCATCTTCCCTCACTTGCTCACACTCTTCCAGTAGCTCCGGACCAGCAGCATCGTGGATCGCTCCGTCAACTACGAGATGCTGTTAGCCCAGGAACGATTCATCTCGGTTGGTCTCACCTCCGCCGCCGCCTTGAGTGCAAACGTTGATTAGTATTCCGTAATATTGCAATGAACGTGCATACCGAGTAGACTTCTGTTTGCTGCATTCACAATGCAATCTACTTTCAACTGCGTAATGTCTCCTTGGCTGATCCGAGATGTTCACCATCAGTTATAACAGCAGAAACGATACTCACTAGAGGGATATACGGTCCAACAGGGAACCCCTTGGCTGGTGGCGAAGCTTTGAGACATCTTGCAGCTTGAGCACGGATGCTCTATACAGCTCGCGTAGGGTAGGGATCTGTGACAATCCGACAGGCATGCCGACCCGGGTGGGGTTGAGTTTGAGCTAAGATTTTTTCGTACAATTTGTTCCCGCAAGTTCAGCAACAGATAGCTCTGGGCTCATTCACATACCTCAAGTTCGAGTCAAACAGACTACGTAGTCGTGCCACGCAGGGACGAGAAATCAAGCTCAAGCCCCGTGTTAGAGGAAGCTTTCGGGTGGTTCTCTCCGTAGATTGGGAATGAGTCTGCCTACAATGAGAATGGGTATCGGGCGGGGGTATGGCGGCACGGCAAGATGGCAGAGCGTGGCAGCCTGAGTGTGATAGAGATCAAGATCCGATCCCAATTGCCCGATGGATCTCATCACAAGTAGATCTGAACACGGCTCGCCATCTTCAAGCGTCAACTTCATCGCGCCGAATGTTCAAGGACGGTTTCTAGCGAGCAATCCCGCATGAGCTGCCTGACAAGTACATTCATCGAAGGACTCATGGATGAAGAACAATCGACCGCAACGTTGCTTGGCCACACCTCGGAAATTCTAGCTGCAGTGAAGGTATTTCCGCTAATACCCAGCATCAAACGAGATGTCGAAGTGAGTCTCTGATAATCATTTATGGTCACATGCAGCTGCAACTGATTAATACAGAAAGATATTGGTCTGTGCATGCACTTTTTTCCCATAATAATCCAATTTATAGCATAAATGATTGCAGATACGGCATTAAGCTGGGAGTGCGTTTCTTGAGCAAGCTACGGATTGCTAGCAGCTGAAATACCACTCAGACAGCTCACAGCCTCAGATATCAATTTCGCTATTGTGCGTCCTCTGGTGTTCAAATATGCTAGGTTGGACAACATGGCGGTCGTCTACGCATGCTTCGTCGTTCGCTCCCATTTCCTGTCTGCAGCCCAAGAGGATCTCGCGTACTCCGGAGTGATGCTTTCTCGAGCCAGCTTGTGCGAGATCCTGGCCATGAAACTTCTGAACACCTTTGCCGCCACGCGAATATGTTTAGCAGCTACTCTAACGGCCAGTTGGAGCCCTTTAGCTGGCGCGCCTCCCGAAACCGTGCAAGAAGTTAGGAACATCCTCGGCTTGGATGAAAAATTCGATCCGCAATGTGCTCTCGAGGTTCGTAGCATTATAACGTGTGCATTATGAGCTCGGCATATATGGTGATTGGAAGCAGATGGCTATTGCAACCGAATCCAAGGCATTCATCTCCTCACCTGCAGTTCAGATGGTTGTGAACGACATATACGGCGGAAGGATGGTATTTTCCATGTCGTCTTATCACTCCATTCTCGCCGATAACTATAAGCCGCGTGCCATCGAGGTGTACGATTATCGGAAAGCACCATTCCTGGATCATTACCGGCTCCGTGTGCCCAAGTATGGTGCTGTCCTGGAGTTTCTCAACTTCGCACTCCTCCTGACAACGTTCTTGCTATGCCTATCAAGTAGGTCTTCATTGTTTCAACGTCTCCCCTGACTGAACAACTCCGTCAGACCAAGACGTCGATAGAATGAATGCCTTCGAGGTTGTTTTCATCATATTTGCTACAGCATTTACGCTTGCAGAATATACAGCCTCAAGGGAGCATGGTTGGAGTAGTAAGTGGTTGCGTTCTGTATAATATAAAAGTTGGTCGACTATTATGCAACTCGCAGTATACATCGCAAATGTACGAATTCTTTGGGTTCTTGGATAAGGAGCTGCTGATTATCCGCAATATAGATGTGGAACGTTTTTGATACGTCATTTGTGATCATCTTCTTTGCATACTTGGGCTTCAGGATCAGAGGACTTACACACCACGATGGCTAGTAGTTATAATATCCCATTACATGCCATTGCTAATTGTGGGATCTACAGCGGGTGCGTCCGAAATGTCATTCGATATCCTCGCATGTGGAGCATGCATTCTCTTCCCGCGGTGTGTATACTGAAGCGTGTCTTCTTCATTCACTCACGAGGCGGTAGCCTGGCATTCTTCGCTGTTTTTAACAACGTTGTAGTCTTGTGCGTACCTAGCTTTCTTGGCCAGAAAGCCAATGAAACCCACTGATCGCACCCAGGGCTCTCCGCGCCATGATGGCGGACTTCATATTCTTCATCGGAATCGCGGCAATATGCTTTTCAGGCCTCCTTTTCACTCTTCACAGCTTAGGTATGTTGATGATTGCCCAAGTCCATCCTCTTCACCGCTCATCGCCACACAGCTGCGGACACCTGGAGCGTCAAACGAATCGCATGGCTGATGGTGCAGATTTGGTTCGGAAACACTTATCTCAGTTTCGGGCAGGCTGAGAGTTTCCATCCGATATTCGGCCCGATCCTCATGACCATGTTTGCCGCGCTATCAAACACGCTCCTCCTGACCAGTGCGTGTGACCGCCTGTTGGACAAGGAACTCCATTTTGATACTGTTTCACCGGGATAGTTTTGATCTCCATCTTGTCCAATACATTCGCCCAGATCAACGCGGTGAGCACGTTGTCACCCCCACCGCCCAAACAGTGCTTATATGCTGATGTAGAACGCTAAACAAGAGGTTGGTCAGAATATTGGTTGTGCCATTGGTTGACGTTAATCGCAATCCGCTAGTATCTGTTTCAGTACGCCATATCAACTATTGAAGGGTGAGAGTATCCTCTCTCAAAGAGAATCTGATCGCTTATTGTTGAGACTCGTGCCTAGCGTCAAATCAGATGCGCTCTTCAGCTATCAGCCGCCGTTCAATTTACTTGCATTTGCGATCTTGTGGCCTCTAAGCTTCGTGTCAACACCGCGAGCTCTGCACACCGCGAACGTTTTCTTGATCCGACTGACTGTTGAGTGGCTTGCCCTTGTTTTCTGCCGTTGCTCTTTTGATGCCTATGCTTCCATTGTAGTCCTTCCCGATCCTGATTATTATTAGTATCTACGAGCGGTATCTCGCCGAGGGCCGCAAGTGGAGGGAAAGCAGCTCGGATGCTGCGCACAACTTGTATACACGCTTAACTCGGAAGGTGAAGCATATCCCGATCCTGGATCTGCTCGGGTCAGGGTCCATGGACGTTTACGACGCGATCTTCGATGTCGAACTTCTGCATGAGCCTGAGCTCTTTCCCGAGGACGAGAACGAGGACGACACCCCCTCCGGGAGTCTGCATGCATTTCCCTCCCACGATAGCTTGCATCCGCAGTCTACTGCCTCTTATCATTCGCGTCCGTCTATGGAAACGCCCGTAATTGAGGTCGAGCCGCAAACACCTAGGCAGAGGAGGCACACGAGTCTCCCCAGGTCCCCTCCCCTCGGAAGGAGCAGGAGCATGCGCGAGGGGGTCTCGCAGACTATATCGCCGCGACCTAGAAAAGCCACCTTATCGCCGATTGTGTCGTACAGCTCGGGGGAGGTCCCCACCGTTGGCCCTCGCAGTCCCCTGAGCAGGCTCTACTCAGGGCGAGGAAGCGCGTCGGCCGTTCAGCTCGAGAAAGTCAGCTCGGCCAGTGCAAGTATTGATGCCGGGGTGAAGAAGATGGAGACGCTTCTGGAAGAAGTACGAAATCTGCCTGTGAAACAGCTGAAGGAGGAGATGAAGGAACTTCAGGTGCGTACCGCAGGGCCGGTTGCGATGCTATCCGCCTTGCTTGACGCACTCGTATCCTTCATTGCAGAACCGGCAGGCCCGAATCGAGAATCTGTTGTTGACGCTCACGAGGGGGATGCGCAACGACTCCGGGTACCACTCGTCCCCTCGGAACGACACGCTTTGACAGTTCCTTTCAGGAAGAAGTATTACCCTATGGCACGGCGACGACATGGAAACTTGTGATTACGCATTCTATGGCTGTATACGAAAGAACATTTGTGTATCCAGGCCGTCAATGAGCACGCGCGCTTATAGAAGGGAATGGACAATGCAGCCTGTGCCAAGAGAACGACAGCGAGAATACGATGTGGGACTAATATAGTAGAGTACAATACAATAAAAATGTGCCCAGTACAATGCACAACCCTTCTGCACTGTGAGCGTACATATTAGTGCCGAATCGGAGTAGAGACGCAAACGAGTGACAATTGTAGAAGGGGGCATGCGAGACAAGGGGGATATGCGCGTGGTATTACAGTTGGCAAGGAGGATATCCAGATGAGAGCAGTGTCCAACAGCAGGCGGTATAATGAGATTGATGCGAGCAAGGAGAGCAATGATGGAGAGAGCCAGCTGACAATCGACAAAATCAGAACGAAGAGAATGCAGCAAACGAATAAGTCAGGGTGCAAGAGAGGGGAAGGACATGGCGAAGTCATCACGCGAGTGATTGCTCCGCTAATGACGCGCGCTGGTTCTCGGAGCGCAGAGGGTACGGCGTCTCACGCCCGGACATGGAATGCTCCTGGTCCTCCGGCGTTGGAGAGCTCGCCTGCGAGCGCTCAATGATCGTCGCCGTGGGCAGGAGCGTGTTTGTAGTGGACTGAGCTACATCGGTAGTCTCGGCATCCGACTGATGGACCGTCGTAGTGATCGGCTCGTTGTGTGGGTAGTACGACTGGCGCTTGTGCTTCGTGAAGTCGTACACTGTGAACCTGTGAATAATGTCAGAGAGGGCGATTATGGCATGCGACATGGGATACGTACTGCTCTTCAAGCTGCCGTAGCTCCGGCTTCATTTTCTCGAGGTCGGGATGAGCCTTCCGTTTTGAGTGCGTAAGCGGCTTTTCGACCATGAGGAACTCGTCCAGCTCATGCGACACGTCAAAATTCGCTTTGTTGATCTGTGGAATCTGATGAGTGGCGCAAAGCGTGAGCACCGCGAGAATACGCACATCAGGCACAAATGGTGGCTGTATGTTCTTCTGCTCCAGACAATCCCAATCGATAGATGCAAACCACGGATGGTCATGAACATCCGGAATGCCTCGACCCTTCCCTCTGCATCCCAAGCGCGTCTTCGGATTTCTATCCAGCAGCTAGCACGCGCACGTTAGTATATGCAAGTACGCATGACTTGACAGCGCCACGCACCCCTCGGATAAACTCCTGGCCCTCTAGACTGCAGTAGTCGTTGGCCTTGGACGAGAATCGGATGGGGTCCTTCATGATTGCATGCTTCATCTTGTCTGCGGTCCGCCCATCGAACGGGCGGCGGCGGAAGAGCAGCTCCCATGTGACGACGCCGAGGCTCCACCAGTCGACGCACCACGTATAGCCCTTCTTCCCGATCACCTCTGGCGCCATGTACGCCATGCTCCCTGCGACGCTCGTATGTAACCGCCGCTCCGAGTAGTGGATCGCAACATTAAAATCGGTGATGTGCACATGGCCGTTCGAGTCCAATAGAATGTTGTCTGGCTTCATGTCACTGTTAAATGGGTTAGAATCTACGAGAACCATGAAAACCATGAAGAGACGCACCGATGGACGATACGTTGCCTATGCAGGTAGTCCAGTGCAGAACACAGCTCTGCTGTCCAAAACTGCACGACCTTCTCTGGGATGCGTCCTAGCCGCTCCAGATGAACTGCCGAAGTTAAACAGTCAATAATGCATCCGTCTTGGGATCAAAAGAAGACCCACATCGCAGATCCCCGCCAAGCATCAAATCCAACACAAAGAAGCAATTCTGGTCATCCTGGAAGGCATAGCGTAGGTTGACCACAAATGGATGGTCTATCTGCATCCATAACGCATGTGAATGAGCCCAATTACTGTGAGGGAAATATGCATCTTCCATACCTCCTCAAGCAAGCGACGCTCCTGGATAATATTCGCCACCGCCTTCTGCTTTATGCATCTGGCCTTATCGATGTATTTGAGCGCATAGAGTTTCTTGGTTCGCTTGTGTTCGACTACGCGGACCTGCGAGAGCTACAGCGACGTCTCGGTGCCAGCACAGAACGGCTGATGCGTACCTTGCCAAAGGCGCCCTTCCCGACGGCCCTCAAGAGGTCAAAATGGTAAAGATCGACTTCGCCATCGAAATCAATTGGCTGAGAGCAGCAGCAGAGGACGGCGCCCATAAGACAGGTCGGACTAGCTGGGGAAGGGAACGGGGAGGACACAGACTTATCGCCTCGAAGAACAAGACAGGCCAGAAAGAACGAGGTAGCGCCGACAGAATGAATCCGCCGGCAGAAGCATGGTCGAACTCAGAACAACAAGCCCTCGCTTTAGGTGCGCTTTAAGCTCGTCCAATGCGCAAGATGCGATCGCCCAGGCGCTCACCCTGCTGCTTTCTTCATTGTCCTCCCTCACATTGCCTGCGCAAAACGGAGAGTGCGGGCTGCCCGACTGTTGCATCCTCCCGTTGCTATCATTATCCACTGAGTGATGGATCTGTCGAGGCAGTGTATCGTCTTGATGGCTATCTTGAACTGATAAGATTTTAGTTTTTTAAATGGTTACAGTTGCCATGGCCTAATAGTGTAGCGGTTCTATCACATGGGATTCTGAGCATTGGGCATTAGCAATAACCATTGTAAAATTTCCCATAACCCAGGTTCGATTCCTGGTTAGGCCTAATCATTTTTGTGTCTCTTCCAGTTCTCAGAATTCTGAGACCCGGCATTGCATGAAATGTCGAGTAGAACCTTATTGCGAGCCTGAACGTTGTTTTTATCTTCGTCGTCACATTGAATCTCAAAGTCATTCAAGGGGCTTAAAGAGGTCAGAGAACTTTGCATCCCAGTCAGGAACCGTGACGTATCCAAAGTACAGTGAGAAGAAGCTGACGAGTCAAACAGCTCGGCGTCAGAGCAGCAGGGAGAGGGGGGGAATGCAGAATGAAGCATAGAATGGAGGGTCAACATGAGCAGCCATGTACAGGAAGTACTTGTTGTTGCCTTATTAGTTGTTGCCTTATTAGATTTCGCGACGTCACCGACTCGTGAGGCTGTCACGTTGAGAATGGGGCATTTCGTCGGATATTGAAGACGAAGAATATCGAGCGAGCAAGCCAGACATACCGAGCCGCGCATTTCGCATTCAGATTCGTTGACTTCTGACTTAGCATCGCGATGGAGGAATCTCGTTGATGTCAATCGATCCGTGCCTAAGCTGGCTGGTTGTTTCTCACCTCCTGACCTCTCTCCTGCCGGATACTCCGCAATCGTGACCTCATGACGAAGGGCTTATCTGAATCGTATATATTGCACCGCTGAGGCAGAAATGCCTGGGTCACAATTCGCACAACCTCTGAGAGCATCGCGCTCATGAGACTGGCCATCACGGGTTGCACGGGTCGCGTCGGACAGCGCGTCGTAATCGCGGCGTTGAAACGAGGTCATTCGGTCGTCGGCATCGACAATGTGCCCAGAGATCTAGAGTTCAAGAACGATCCGAAATTCACCTTCATCCAGACTGATTTGCGAAATTACGCAGGAGCGTACAACGCGTTGCAAGGGTGTGACGCGGTTGTGCAGCTCGCTGGATGTCCTAACCCTGGAGATTACGTCGCTGAGACGCACAATACGTAGGTCCCTGCTTGTCAGACCGTACAAAGGAGTCGTTGACTCACGTTTCATCCGTAGCAACGTTGTCATCACTTGGAATGTCTTACGATCAGCTGCTGAGGTCAGATATTGAGTTTCGCCATCGACTGACCAATTCGAATGATCATTTCTTTGAGACAGCACGGAATAAACAGGATCGCCCAAGCGTCATCGGTGAACGTGATTCCACTGGTATACAGCGCGCAGCCCAGGCTTCGATACTTTCCGATAGATGAAGATCATCCTTGTGATCCGGACGAACCGTATGGCCTTTCCAAAGTGTAATTATCCAGCTTTCAGCTCGGACGTTCCCCCTTTATGGCTGATGTTGCACTCCAGGATTGCCGAAATGCAGGCCGATACCATTGTTCGACGCCATCCTTCCATGCGGATCGCCAGCCTCCGATTGCATTGGTCATGCCCCAGCCGAGATGCAGCGAAGCGCGGCGACCCGGGAAGGAGGAAAAATGACCTGTGGGGATACGTGCAAGAGGACTCGGCAGCAGAAGCGTTCCTGCTCGCGGTATCTGGAGACAACGGCAAGTGGTCGGGACATGAGACGTTCTTCATCTCCGCTCCGGATATAGCGCACGACGAGGACACGGTAGTGCTGAAAGAGAGGTTCTGGGCGGATGTACCCATTCAGGAAGGGAAGGATCTCAACGGGAGGAAAAGTTTCTTTGATTGTACAAAGGCGAAACGACTGCTCGGATGGAGACATCAGAGTCCAGAGGAATAAATGCATGTCCTGAAGTTGCGAACTCCGAGAAGCACAAAGTAGACGTGTGTCGGCAGAGCTTGCCCTGAGCGAGAGATAAGCCTTTATGATGGATGCAGGAACGTCTCCACCTGCAGCAAGATTGGTCATTTAAAACGAAAGTCCTGATCGTAAACACGTACGTGTTCCTCATAATGGTGCAATACTTCCCGTAGCTGTCTCCTCGAGATCTCAGCTCTGAATAGGATCTCATCGTCTGTACATTTTCCGTCAAAATATTGGTTGATCCTTAAACAACGCAAGTAGTATGAGACGATGCTGCGTGCTTGACGTGGGGAAACACTTACAACTCAAATCGCTTCTTGATATACGGGTCCTTCCCATCTGACATCGCGGCTAGCCACAGTCTCTCTAGTCGCGTTGCGCGGGCAGGATCGCTGATCAATGACGAGTAAGGGTTGTTATCCTCGCCCCGGTACCAGTCTTCCCATTCCTCCGCGGCTTCCAATGCAAAATCATCATCGTACTCATCACCGGCCAGCTTCTCGGTATCCGAATGAGATGATGGGTTGCCTATAGGATTCTGACCCCCGCTGGAACGCTTCCCGAATGCCTTGCGCGCGAACCTCGGCGATAGAGAGAACCAAGGGACGCCGCTGCTGGAGTCAGACGCTGAACTGACTGTCAGGGTGCCCTTGGTGTCAGCCGACCCTACTGACAGCGACTCTTTCCCCCGCTCTAAGCTCATCGAGCGTCCATGTATGTACTCTCGTTTTGCGCGGGCCATTTCGAACTTCATGCGCACTCTATCCTTGAGCTCCTCAGTTGCAACAATACGGATGCGGAGATGCAGAGTGATGAGCAGGTCCCGCTTGAGCATCCATATCACGACCTCTTGATACAGCGGTATGAGTTCCTTCGAGCGAACCACGGTGGCGTAGAAGTGGTTCGCGCTCTGCCGATGGGTGGCTATGGACACCATGGAAAGAATCTTGGGGAGCGGCTGTATCGCAAGGTCGGAGAATGCACGGTCAAATTCTGCTGATAATCTAGGTAGCCTGCAATATAACGTTAAGGTGTATGTCAGTGGATGATGGATGGACGCACGGCGCAGGAAACTTCTGAGGCACAGAGAAGATGGTCTTCAACCCGGGATGAACAATATCGACTACTTTCGCGCGTCTATGGTTCACTAGCCAGCGGACCGTGGGATATACCTGACTCTCTAGGTCCCAATCGAGAAGGCTGCCCATGTCGGCAAGACTAGCCAATCATGCTCTCAGAAGGAGTGGCCTGGTAATAAAACATGTTGGGTTGGACGTACGACAATGTCACTGATGCGAGATCCAAAAACTTGATGAGTTGTTCCGCAAGCTCTCTGTCTTCTGGGGCTAAATCTGGTGAACGAAGTCGCATGTTTAGATCATAGCCACGTTCGTCCTCGTTCTCGTTGTCCAACCGTAGCAGACTCTTCCATGGTGCCAACGTAGGGGGTCTCTTCGTTACATCTCCCCACTCATTCGGCAGATCGAATCCACCTCCTTGATCATAGATATCCGCATCCACGTCATCTTCAGGATGCAGCAGGGAATCAAGATGGAGGGGGAGCTGCACCTCCAAAGTCAGGTCCTGTATCGTTATCCTAGCAAGCGAGCCACTCTTGATAGCTTCGTAGACTGCCTTCATCGCGGATGCCACAGAGGATGCCAAAAGGGCTTCCGACGTGTAGTTATTGAAGGGCTCTCCTGCTGTAGCAGTCAATCCTCCTTAAATGCAGGCTGTGATGGAGGTTACCAACCTCGTCTCATGTAGTCGTCCTTCAAGGAGCCTAGAGCATCACATTCACGCTCAACGAAGTTATGCAGAACCTGTTCCTGATAAAGAACAGCTGTGAAAGTGAATGCTATATGTTCATAGATGGTGTTGAAGTATTTCCAAACGGTGCCAGAGGTAGAAGAATACGGATCAGGACGGTCTAAAACGAGGACGAAATGGAACGTTTGTAGCCATGACGAGCTTGATACCGGTCGTTTAGCCCATTCACTTCTATCCGGAGTCAAAGACTTTTCCGTTTGCTGTGGTGTTTCGCCTTTCTTGGAACCTCTGCCGCGAGGAACGACTTTCGGCCTTGCTCCCGTAAAGCGCCACGTCCCATCTGGCTCCGCGCAGACGGGATGGCCAATGAATGCGAGGTCATCCACGACAAGGCCGAACTTCTGGTGGCACATCGAGCTTTGCGGACATAACATGCCGGCAAGAAACTCGCCCGAATAGCCCAGCACAACGTCATATTCATCATCCCTTGCTGACCCGGGGCTGATCTCCAGACCAAAGGAGTCAGTGCTATCGTCCGAGGGCGATGACCGCCTTGACGTTGGATGAGAGCGTGAGTGTGAGATGGAATCCGATCTGCGACGGACCACACTGGGTCTTTTCCAGATGTACCCTTCATCGTCCCCGGAATCTGGACAGACTTTCGCATCTTCTCCAAGGCTTTCCGAAGCGTTAGCTGCGCGCCAGGGATTGTCTCCGTATGCGCATGTGATGTCGTGGTTCGGTATAGGACGAGACAGCCTCGGAGAGGACTCTGGGGCTGGTGGCCAGCAGAATACCAAGCTAGAACCTTTCGCAGAGGACGTAGCCAATAGAACCGCAATAACTGTCTCACTCATAATGTGGGAGGGTGCTGATGCTCGACGTTCAACGTCAACATTAACGTGGGCGGATGTTATTAATGACTAGAATCGAAGAAGACAAATGACGCACGCTAGACGCCCATGCTTTACTGGGCGTCGCCGTCAGTTGAACCAAGTTCGTATTTCGTTCACGACATTTCACCATCCCCTGCGGTCTGCGTCAAACTTTTGCTGAGACGGCACTCTACGAGCATTTTATAGTTTGCGCAGACCTAATTCTAGCTCTTTTCAATCTTCACGGCTTCGTTCCTCGTTGATGTGTTGTTAGAGCCCGACACCACCTCCTATTTATTCAGGGACATTCCACGGACATAGGGATTCTACAGTAATTCAGTTTAATCGTAATGTCTGGACCGCCAGCGCATAGGGGACATTGTTTTGCATACTATTGCTCTGGACATGGTCAGTGAAAAGACCTAGCTGACTGTCGCAGCTTGACTTTCGCCACCACAGGGTACGGGCATGCCACTCGTGTATCTGCATTTGCGCGCCATCTTCTCAGTCTGGAGCCTCAACCGATTGTAAATATCGTTTCTTCGGCGGCCAAGCATGTATTCGCGGATAGTATAGCTCAAGGGGGTGCGTGCATACATTCCGTTGCGGTCAATTCAGGCCTCAGTTCTCTGCAGCCCTGTATCGTTATGCCGACATAGATCCCGTCATTGTACAACCACTCGCGTGAGTATGCTCCTTCTCGGCCTTATGTTGTTCCTTGAGCCTGACAGCCGGCCACGCAGGTATCGAGTCGATCGTCAGAAGAGCGTGGATGTATTGCAGTCCTTCCTTCGGAAGAAAGATAGAAAGGTAATCGAGGAGTCTCAGTGGCTCACGGAAATCGGCGTCGACTGCGTGTTGAGTGACGCTGCGTTCCTCGGTTGGTGAGTTGCATCCACATGAAATATGTGTGCCAAACTGAGTACACCTCAGCCTCGCCGCCAATGCCGCAGGTATACCATCTGTATTGATAACCAATTTCTCTTTCGATTCTGTGTATAGCTACCTTTCCACTTCATTCATCGACAAAGCCAGTCCTCGCCCTGATGATCTCGATGTGCAGCAATTGCAGGCCCAAATTATCCTCCCTCCTGATGTCCCAATGGCTGCGGATGCGTTGAAACCTCTAGTCGATGAGATCTTCTTGGGGTTTCGTTGCGCGGATCTCTTGTTGCGGCTACCTGGCGCCATTCCGATCCCCTCTTTTACTGTGCATCCTGATCTACCTTCGCCGTCTTGGGTCGACAACATACTTCAGCGGTTTGCGCCGGAAGTTGTGGAACATCTGTTGGGCTCGCCGACTAGCTACAATCTGCATCCAAGTGTGGAGTTCCCGGCGCCGTATGGTCCCAAACCAATCCCTCGCATAGCGCTCCCGGCTCCATTACTCGTTCGCTCTCCCAACCCATCCGTGTACACCCCCGCAGGTCGTCGTAAATTGCTCAACTCAATCGGTGTACCGCCGTATCTGCAAGACCCGGATACTACCAAGATCCTGATTGTATCGTTCGGAGGTCAAGTTTTCCGTAAGCCGCAGAGCCGCATTCACAGCCGCTCTCCTTCTCGTGCAGGCACCCCAGGGCCCTTTGCTTCCGCTGCATCCAGACCGGTGAATGGCTTGCCATCCCGCGTTGGAACTCCGGGACCGCTCGTATTGCCAACTTCCAAGTCAATAAATGTGTTTCCGCGAGAGGCTCCACTACCGAAGCCAAGTGATCTCTCCAAGGAATATTTTCCTGACCCTGATTTACTGTCTGTTGCACTTCGTTCTATGAACTTGAGCAGCTATATGTCCCAGCCTCCGTCATCGCCTGGTCTACCTCCTCCGCGTGTCATCACTAGAGCTCGTGGAAAGTCTCAACTGGCGATACCTGGAGCACCTCCTGTCATCATGACGACTTCACCGGTAGTCAACAAGTCCCCGCCTCCTGCTCAGGCTCCCACTTTCAACAGGATCCCTGCATCTCCTGTTACAGAACAGAGGCTGGTATCAGATAGATTTGACGATGTCAGCGAGCAATTGGTGCCCGAAGCAGAGGACGGCTTTGAAGAGGAGGAACCTCGTCTACTGCCTGATGAAACCTGGATCGCCATCGTGTGTGGCGTCTCGAAAGAATGGGCTAGGGAAGACGGCGAGGAACTCCCTGGGAACTTCTACGTCGCTCCACGAGACGTGTACATGCCTGATCTGACTGCTGTTGCGGACGTCCTCTTAGGGAAACTCGTAAGTGCCTTCGTCATCGACGGGCTCTGATTCAACGAATGCGTGCATCTAGGGCTATGGCACAGTATCTGAATGTGTCGATGCATGCACACCCTTCGTATATGGTGAGCTCTCCCACTAACCGATAGTTCCTATGCTCACGGCTGACCAAACCATCAAAGTCCCGAGACCGCTCTTCATAGAGGAACATGGTCTTCGCCTGTTGCTGGACACAGAAGGAGTCGGCGTTGAGCTGTCAAGAACATCGTACGAGACCGGCGAATGGGCTGACGCTATTGAGGAAGCGTATCAGAAGGGGGCAGGTGCGAAGGCAAGGAAGAGACAGGAAGGAGAGACTGGTAAACGCAAGCAAGAAGGACTAGAGATGGCACGAGGTCTGGTGGACTGGGTGGACCGCTGGAAGGCAGGAGTCATGGCAGAAATGGCTACCGTCGAGAACGAACTTCAGTAACGAACAGCCAGCTGGTAGTATAATGTGTGTTTTAGCTCAGATCGGCAAATGGAACTCCTGTTGAAATGGCTGGCTCCCGGGTCGCGACGCGATATACATAACCAGTCATGTCATGTGACCGTGTTCAGCAGTCGAAGTCTCGCCTTGCTCTGCAGCTATTCCCATTGGCCCGTGTGCGTGGAGTGCACCGTGTATGGCTCTCGGCATTTCGTTCAGAGGGTGAATGTACATGAAGCCCGGAAAAAGATTGCAGTGGAACTTGGCCGAGATCATGGTCTCGGTACTTCATCATCGAGTTCAAAACCCGCGGTCAGCAGGATCCGGCACCGATTCGAATGCGCTGTCTAGGTTCATCCGCAACAGGTCCGGGGACAGACAGCCCTCCACCTCGACCTGGCCAGAATGACGACGATGACGAATGACCGTGTCCTTCGCTGTCCGTGGCCTACATAAGAGGCCAACCCGTCCCCCTTCACCGAGTATTCGATATCACTTCATCACTACTCATTCACGTTATGTCTATCACCGACGTTCCCAGTGCTCCGCGATGGATTGAGGTCCTTTCCTCCATCCAGAGGAAACCAGAGAACATCGACCAGAACAGTGCGTGCAATTTCCTACCCCATTTCGCCCTAGTTGACCTTTCAATCCATAGTCTACCAGATCGCCACTGTCGACGCCGAGGGCGCACCGCATGTCCGCTCGCACATGCACCGGGGTATCCTCTACCCAATCGACAGCCCCGACCGCCCAGTGATCCTCACATCCACGGACGTGCGCACGCCAAAGGTGACGCAGATGCTGCACAACATGCGCACCGAGCTCGTCTGGCACTTTAACGGCACTCAGGAGCAGCTCCGTATCGCGGGCTTCGCGCACATCGTCCCGACCCCCTCGAACCCAACTTTCGACTCCTTCGAGCCCTCGACCTACCTCGACCTCTCGAAATTCGAGAAGCAGGGCTTCGACTGGGAGAAAAAGAGGAAGGAGGTGTGGAGCGAGATGAGCCCGCAGTTCAGGGCGATGTGGTGCACGCCTGACCCGGGCACACACCTCTCCTCTTTCGACGAGGCAAAGACGTGGCCCACGTCTGTGCCCAACTTGGGCGAGGCAAAGACAGCAGCAGAGAAGAAGGTGCAGGAGATGTCTCTGAGCAATTTCGCGCTCGTCATCATTGAGCCGGTGGAGGTCGATTGGGTGACGAGCAGTGTCTTCCCGAACAGGAGGATCAAGTGGACGCGCCAGGGCTCCAGCGGGAACTGGAAGGAGGAAATTCTTGTACCGTAAAAAGCGGAAGAAACCCCTGTACTTGTAGCATTTAACTTGTACAACAGTGTAAACTGTACCTTCTTCAGTGCAATTGTATTCTCAAAGCACGCTTGATGTCGAGGCTGTGCAAATGCGACTAGCCTTGGGGAGAATCGGTCTTCGATGCAGCTCTTGTGAACTGTCGCAAAGTCAAGCAGAAAGACAACAAGTTGAATACAGAACAGCCTACTTCCCCTGTGGAGGCTGTTACTACCAAGATGGACAGCATAAACAACATCGTCAAACCCGGATGCACGAATCATGCCCACTAGGAGAAAGTATGATTGATTCAAATGCACAACATGTAAGGTACAATACATATGCTGAGATACCTCCCACCACTAGATGCGACTGCTTACAATAACCTTGCACAAACAATGTAAATCTATGCCATCCCAGTATATGCGAGTGTATGAGGAAAGATGCATATGGTCCGAACAGGGAAACGAGCCTTCAAGGCACGGTGAATTAGTCTTGAGGGGTCTCGCAGCGTCCGAGCTTCGGCGCTGCCGCAGGTGAGGTCGCAACCATGAGCTTACACCGGCATCAGCACCGCAGACGTTATGAATATGAGGGAATCACTTACGTGAACTGTCTGCGCTGTGGTGTAAATCGCAGCAGCCATGCCGAATACCATGAGAGCGATGTCGGCGATCTTCTGCTTGCGGGTACGCGCACAGGCTTTGTAATGCAGCATCGCCGGATAGACGTAGCACAACGGGACACTAGAGGGGCATTGGTCAACATACTATCCACGAGTGAATTAACATGAAGCAGACGTACCATGCAAAACTGCCCACAAACGATACAAACTTGTCCAAATCACTTGCGCCAACGTAACTCAGTCCTGCGCAGAAAGTGATGACCAAAAAGCGGAAGCAGTTCTTCAACCACTTGACACGCGCGTTCGCCTTCCCGCTTCGTTCAAACAGCCCGTTCTCCATTATTCGTACAGCAGGGAAGAGCTGCAGTGGCACAGAAAGCAGAATGGCCAGCGAGTAGAGGAGCTGAACGACCTGCGTGAACTTGCTCGTCGTGTCAAGGTTTACGATGACGACAGTCTGGACATCCGCGCCAAAGGTCAGGTACGACATGACTCCTCCCCCACAGAACAAGACTGGTCAGAAACGCCAATGACAACGTTAGTAACTGCAGCAACTGACTGCATCAGTCGCGGTGCGTACCCATCAAAAATAACATCACCCCGGTGAGGACTTTAGGGAACTTGCGTGGCTCCTTCATAGCATCTGTGATCGGGATGACCTGCAAGAAGTTCGGGTGAGACGTGAAAGCATTCCACGTTGAAAAAGACCTACCAGCCCGATTCCCTCGAAGGAGAAGACGGCCGTTCTATTCACAGAATCTCAGCATCCATAATCGTTTAAAGCTCAATCGCCGACATACCCAATCAACAGCGGCCAATCCCGCGGGTTGAAAAACTGGACATCTGCATGTCCCTGCTTGGACATGATGGCAGCCTCACTGCCAAAGATGTATATCAACCCTGCGAGGATGAACGCATCCGCGATGAGCGCTGTCGTGCTCAGCTTCGCCAAGTTCCGAATCAGCGCAAGCGGGAGAAATATGACCATCTGCAGGAGGATAAAATACTGGATCCCAAGCAGCTTCGCACAGTTCGTGACCGCGAGCACGAACGCCTGGAGGTTTTCGGAGACGAAGATGATGTACGCCGAAACAAACCCGAGTTGCGAGATTACGATGGAACTGAGGATCGCGTACCGCATCCACGGGCCGTACAGTGCGCCACCGATGTCTGTGAGATGCTCAGAGGGTGAAATGTGAGAATGACAGTGAATGGCACATACCACCGAAACTGCCGGACACGACGAACTTGGCCTTGACGAGTAACAAGAACGAATATAGTGAAATCAGAGCAATGAACGTAAGGATGAGGCTTGAAAACAAGATTCCGCCATTGAAGAAACTAGACATGAAGCATATAAGCCATACTATCGATCGTGTAGGCAGGACGCGTACGCTTTGCCCAAGAACAAGATTCCCGTACCGACGAAGGATTTCAGTAGCTAGGAATGATTGTCAAAACAAGCGACGGTTTCCGGAGCACAAGAGACACACCATCAGCACAGCGTCGGTGACACTGGCATCACCATGAGCATGAGCACTTGCTCCTCTCCGCCTCCTCGACCTAGATCTCGAGGCGTCACGTCCAAGTAACGGCGAGCGCTCATTTGCCTTGTATAAATGAGACACCGTCTCAGGTGGCAGACCTATTGACAATGGAGCAGTCTCTGCAGGCCCTTGTTCAGCTGGCGAGGGTGTAGCCGCGCGCGACTCCTCGTCCTCCCACCGAGGATACTCGTCTTCCTCCTCGGTCTCCTCAAGGTCTTCTCCGGCCTATGGTTGCGCTGACGTGAGAAGCCCAGAACGTATACATCGGTATACAACACGTACAAAGTGCCCGAAGAGGTACAGGAACTCGATGAAGTTGCGAGGCACAGCGTGAGGTAATTGGCCGTGTTCATGTTGGAGGAGGAGATAATTCCTGCGGAACCCGCCTGGCTCGTGGATATGCTGGAACGCGGGGCCCGGAGCAGACGTAGTCGAGCCGGAGAACGATGCTGCTCGTGGACGTGCAGCCTGTCGCCGTTTATCGGCTTGCCACTTGTATATGCTGTGACTGTGGAGCGAAGTGTCAGTGCACGTATTTGGGTAGATCGTTTCTCCGATATATGGCTGAAAACACCTGCAGGCAATCTAGAATTGACCAAAATGACAATTGTGGGGACTCCTGACTCGCCAGTGGATGCTAACAGGCACGCTCGCAGCTTCCGATTCTCCGAAGTGCTGGTACGCAAGAATCAAGACGTAACCCTCGTGTCCCTACGCCACGAGGATCATGCAGACGCTCGGACACATCCACCCCTGCATGTACTCCCCACGCTTTCACAACACATGGACCGGGCGAGGGTGGTATAAAAGACGCTCGCGGTCCATTCGGGCATCCAATAAATGCAAGACGGGTGCAACATTCGGAGCCCAACGTCGAGGTAGCGCTTCGCGTTGCACCGATGTCCAGCGAAGCAACGAGACAAATTACTCACGTCACGTCTGCGCCATGAGCATTGTATGGCACAGGAAATGGCTCGGATTCATCCCGCTGGATGCGGAGGTGCGCAACGGACGATCGCTTCGAGACCGTGCCGTTATCGGAGCCTCCGTTCACAGACGCACGGGACGAGCCAGCCTGTCCCTCACGCTCTTGCCTCGAGACGAGGTGCCTCCTCAATATCCTAGCCTTCTCTTCGTCTGTCAGCTCATTTAAGGCATTCCCTTCCTGTCCGCTGCTGGGAATGTCCAGTACGTCTGAAGGTCGGCGTGCAGAGATACCGCCTATGGAAACGCTAGAGGGCCGTTGTTCTGGCACCGTTAAAGAGCCAGGAAGCAGTCTCGGCGAGTCTTCCGCAATACTTGGAGTGCCTATGGGAGTCCCGCGGCGGGGAATGTTAGGCAGCGGTGGTGTGCCAGTATATTGAGCTCGGAGAAGGCGCGGATTAGGCGAAGCCGATCCTATAGGAGCATCCGTTGGTGTTCCTCGAGACTCTCGGTTCGGAAAACGTGAGCTGACGATATCGAGTGGCTTTGAGGGAGATTGCGACATTGTGGAACGAGAGGAAAGTGCAGCGAGGCGGAAAGCGTGTCTTAAGTTGTGTGGAAGCGCTCAGGCTGGGACACGGCGGCCCACCAAATTCGGATCGACTTGCTTGACGCCATCAGAACAGTGCGGACTCGTCGGGCTCAACCGCTTGAATACATGCAAGCGAGAAATATGAATAGGAAGCTCAGCTAACGTCTCAGAGTGCTTGGACTGGGTGGAAGTACGGAAGAAAGAGGGATATTTGCTGCTCCTTGAGTTCGAATTCTGTCCGAGCTCGGGTCGGTGACTTGCTGACTAAGCATATCTTCTCGCTCTCGGCCATGTGGACGCTCGACGGGCTCTTTCTCGCTCGTCGCACAAGTCGACAGGCCATCTATAATGACTTGATGTTTTCCTACGATATATCTGGGCACAAGGTCCACCACCTCTGCTCCAATAGGTCAGTTATTCCCGTCTACTGAGCTGTCAAACCCATGACCACGCATATTTACGCGCGTTCTGCCATGTAACCTATCACCCCACAAGCAGCCGTGCGCGGAACTGAGCAAGCACATGCAAAGCTTCCCCGGCTGCAGTTTCAAGTCGAAAATAGCAGAATTGATGGCAAAGCGATGGTCAACCTCATAACCATACATCTGACTGCTGAGATTGGCATATCGCCGAAGAATGTCGGAGATGAACTCCATGTGCGCAACCTGTAAACGTGTTTGCAGCAGATTTTCTTCCTCTCGTAATCGGCCTTTTTTTGTCCTTATGCTCTAGACTTGCGTCTACACAGTATTCATCTGTCTGCAGGAACCTGCCCAATGTTTTCTGCTTGAACAATTCTTATTACAGCCATGAGAAGACGTTGAGCCACGCAGGGTGCTTCGTCGATAAGATTGGACGTCGGCTAGGACTGTCATCAGGAGATGTCGGGGACCCTGCGACTGGGCTTCACATCGTGGTTACGGTGTGCTAGCCGCGGCGTGTTTGCCTCGCGTCCGCCACTGATGAAACCACACCCCATTCAGACAGCAGGCCTTGGGCAGGCCCGCACATTCATATGGGCTCTTTCCATGCCGACTCTGCAACCTTGACCATCTCTTCCTCTGGTCCCTCTGCCGCTCATGTCGAAAGTCAGACGCAAGCCAGCTCCCGCATTCCCGTATTCTCCGCGGTATCCGTCACCGGACCCTACTGATCCCTTTGTGTCGCTGAAAGCGTTGCGAGAGCGGGCCCATTCCAACAATGCCTCTCTCCGGTATGCACCTAGCAGCTCATCCCACCAGGAAGTGTCCCCAAATCGCGAAGACTATCTCCTCACTATAAGTCCTGACGTGAACGGCCAAGGTCTTGGAATAACGTATCCATCGAGCAGCTCGGACCATTATACACCATCGTCAGCGTATCGACTATTGCAGGACCAGCCGAATGGTTATTACTCGGATAACACGGCTACACGGCCGCTGCGTACGCTTCGCTCGAGATTCAAACCGACCAGGGATTCTAAGGCTTATTACTCCGAGGCTGAGTTGCCTCCGACTCCACCTCAGGTACGCCTGCAGGCGCAGCTCCGACATCAGACTGAACACCGAATGGAATCTCGGCCTCAGGATCGCAGGCATTCCCGCTCCATTGCTCCACGCACTCCTGCAAAAGAGGCTCACTTACAAGTACAAGCCACTCCTGCGCCGGAGATACGTCCAGTGGATTCCGTCGCAGATCTCATCACTACTCTACAGAAGGAAACAAACGCGGATCTCACTCCGATATCGCAATACACGTACGACGACCGCCAATCGCACGGGTATTTCTTTGCACCAGTCAATAGCGATCCAGAACTTCCTGAATCGCCTCCTGTAGATGTACACTCAAATCCGCGCTCGGCAGCATCCATCACTCCGCCAATGACCCCGGACGATGGTCTCAGCTTAAGCAGCTCCGATGCGCTGATCGGTTACGCTTCGCAGCCGGCCTCATTATTGCAGGACATTTCACGTCCTCCATCGCGGCCCCTCTTGCATTCTACTCCTGCATATGGGGACGAGAGCAAAGGTGGTACCGAGCGTGATTCGTCTTCGAGCGTTGCAATCCATAGCGCGGAGTTCCCAATGCTGTGTATCCCACCGGAGCCTTCATCTCTCGAAGTTTCGTCTGTGGGCCAGTCCTCGTCTGTGGACTCGCCCTCGCGTTTCGCTAAGTGCGACGAAGAGGTGACACTGAAGCCCAGGCGGCCTGGGGCTTCGAGCAAACGCCATAGTGCCCATGAAAAGCTGCGCGAGACATCAAATGTCCGCGGACGAAAAGTGTCGAATCCAGGCCAGCGACCGTTGATACGAAAATCTTCCGAATCGAGCGACTCGGCGGACTACCTGGCTCGAGCTGGCCGTACTACAATCGTGGTGGAATCATCGGCGGCAGTACAGCGGCCGGATTCGTCTCGTGGCGTGGCCCGCGCTAGCTCTGGGCGGTCTTCCTTGCATGGTCCGTACCTGCAAGTACAGGGCGCGAGAGAAACAGATTCGTCGTCACCTGGAATGCTCTCAGCAAGTGATGTCTCCGATTCTGCTGACACTGATAACGATCAAGTCGCTGGCGGCAACTCGGCTCCCTTCAGTCTGCATAAGCCGAAGAAGAGCTTGAGCCATGTCAGTCTCGGCCTCTCCGGACTGCCTAATGTTAGCCTTGGCCCCCCTTTGACACCGAGCGCAAACACGAGCGTGGCGAGTCTGTCGACGGTTGGTGCTGACGTCGACAGGAAGAACAGCACGAGCAGGGAAAGCATCTCCCCGCCGTCAGTGACCTTCGCCTTCTTGGGCGTACGTCCTCGAGACGCTCCTAGTGCATCGCCGGCGCGAAAAGAAGAAACTTTGACGAGAGAGCCTGAAAGGCCACGATTGACCGAGCGAAATCTCAAACGCCTTTCGGATTTCGCGGTTCTCGATGAGGACAAGCTCGCAGCAAAATCTAGTCACAATGGCTCCATTTCAGGTCGTGGCGCTGGAGAAGAACGTTCTAAGCCGGCTTCTTCCCGGCGGTACACAACGATCATATCGCCCGCTCCGACAGCTGAGAAGAGTGATCAGGACGAGACGTATCGATCTGTCAAACGTGCCCTCACCATTCCTCCTACGCGAACAGCAACAAGCCCTGTTCCACCAATTCCCGCTCCCATCGCTCGCGCACCATCACCTGATGATCATCGAAGCTTCGCTGCATCGCAGATTGCGCCGATGAGATCCGACTGTGCACCTCAATTCTATGTTTTACCAGCTTCAATCATCCCACAAATAGAGCTGTTCGCGCCTGCACCGCTTCCCCTTACACCGCCACAACCGTCTGAGCCTCCAACTCCTCTCCCACTTCCCACACCTCGTGCCAAGTCGCCAATTCCTCGTCCACCCTCTCGGCCGCGCGAAGTGCAAACTGCCGTGCCCGTCGCTGTTTATGACGCAGTAGCGCAGGACAATTTGGCACCCACTCGTTCCAGAAGTCCTCCGGTCGATAACGTACAGAGGAAAAGAGAGACAATTAAGGAGGAAGCCAGACAGACGGTAAGGAACGACAGCAGACAGAGATCGAGAGAGGAAGTGGGGCACGCGACAAGGCAAGAGTTGAGACACACAGCGCGAGAGGAAGTGCAACAGGCGAAGGAGGACGCGAGGCGGGTCAAGGAGGAAGCAGCGCGGCGAGCTCAAGAGGAAGCAGCGAGGCGTGTTACCCAAGAAGAAGCCGAGCGGGCTAAGGAGGAAGAAAGGCGGCGGGCTAAGGAGGAAGAAGCAGCGAGGCGGGCTGAAGAGGAGACAGCGAGGCGGATTATCCAAGAAGAAGCCGAGCGGGCCAGAGAGGAAGAAGAGCGGCGGGCTAAGGAAGAGGCCAGGCAGGCAGTGCTAGAAGCAGCACAGCAGGCCAAAGAAGAAGCGAGGAGGGCAAAAGAGGAAGCAGTGAGGCGGGCTATCGACGAGAGACGGGTCAAAGAGGAAGAAGAGAAGCGGGCAAAGGACGAGGCCAGGCAGGCGGCAAGGGAGAACGCGAGACGCACGACAAGAGAGGAGACGAGGCAGTCAGTGTACTTGCCGGTTGCCCAGCTTCGAGAGCAGGCACGGGCAGAGACGGAAGTGCAGTCTCAGACACAGAGCCTCACTCATAGACGTGCAAGCACTGCACATACATCCTCCCCTGTGCGTGGATCAACGCCTCCTGCTCGCGTGCAAGAAGATAGAGGGACGCGATCGAAGTCTCCTGCTCCTGAACCTTCACATTCGGATCGGCATCAGTACCTGACTGCTGATTATCGACCATCCTACACGATCACGCCACGTCCTTATCGTACGCGACCTCCACCTCCTGTACCCGAATATCGTGCACAATCTCCGGCTCCTGCTGTTCAAAGTTCGCGGGGTCGCACTGTTCCTCCGACACTTCGTGAACCGTCTCCCGCTCGAGTACCCCCGCCGACTCGCTCTCCTCCTTCGTCGCAGGGACATACTTCGATTCGTGGCCGTAGCTTCGACCAGCAATCTGACCATCTTTCACGAGCTGCTACTACCACGCGCAGTGCTGGTACGCAAGCGTCAAGATTCCCACCCTATCCGCGCGGATCTGCACCGGCAACCCCCATGCATCAATATATGGCCCCCTCACCTGCCATGACATCATACTCTCAGACTTTGCCGCAAGCGCATAGAGAAAAGCGTTCACGCTCGCATGCACCATTTTCTCTCAGGGAGCAGCGGCAGCACCAGCGGCATGAGCAGTTCGTATCAAACGTGAACTTTGACGAGTTCACGCCTCCGACCAAGGAGCAGATGAGATACGCCAGCTCGCTGTGCGTTGTAGCGCAGAATGGCCTGCGGATTCAGTTCGGCGAGCTGATCAGGGACAGGAGGACGATTGTCTGCTTCATTAGGCATTTCTGGTACGTCACAAGCCGATTGATGGTTTATATGCAATATCTCATTTCTTTTCTTTTGGAATCTATAGGTGTGCTGCTGATCAGGATTACATGTACCACATCGCATGCAATGTCGAAATGGAGGCGTTGCGGCGTGCAGATTGTGATCTCATTGTTATTGGAGTAGGCTCGCCGGCGATGATCAAGTCGTATCGGAGTCCGTAATTTCCTACGTCCGCTTATGATATTGTTTCTGACAAATATTCGCAGATATTTTCCGTATGCCTTTCGAATTCTTTACCGATCCGACCCTTCGTTTGCATGAGGCGCTCGGTATGACTCGAAAGACGCAGGATGCGGGGCCAGACATCGAGAAGGGAGAGTACATTCGTCATGGGCCCCTCGGCGGTTTGGCAATGGTGGTCAGGAACGCCATACGAGTCGCCATGCCTGTATGGGAAAAGGGCGGAGACGTAACGCAGCTTGGCGGCGAGTTCGTATTCAGCCCAGGGTATGCACTCAGTCCTTCTTCATTCAGTAGCAAGTTACTCATCGGACTGACAGAAGCAGTCCATCCTGTCTGCACGCTCATCGCATGACCACTACTCGGTCGCATGCTTCCATACTCCACTCACTGGCCGCTGTGGGTGTTCGCACCATCCCATTGGGACCAGAAGGTACCTCACGGTCGTTCCTGTCACCCGAGGACGAAGAAAACTGGATGGAGGACCGACGCAGGAGTATCGCGCGCATGCAGGCGAAGCGCGAGAAGAGGAGGGAAGGCTCAATCGAGCGGTCGTGGCAAGACGATCCTGCTGAACCAGGCTACAATAGCGAGGCGGGAAGCGGGAGCGTCAGCGGATGTTGGGCCTCGAATGCGATAAGAGGCGAGACGGGTACGTATCCGACAAAAGGCGAAGCTGGCAAGCTTGCTGCCAATACGTATCCGGAGAAGGGGCGCATGCGCGGGTTCCATGTCGCAAATCCGGACCACAACCCGCCCACGCCGGTTACCGAAGACGAGGAGTATGAGGGCCATGGCTGGGATGGCAACTTCTCCAATTTGCGGCGCATTGACGTTGTCGGGCACATGCGAGACGAACCGTATTCATTGACGCAGAAACTTCCACCTCTACCACATCGCTATGGCTAAGCGTAAGTTTACATGCAGCGATACATTCATTTAACGCTCGACGGGACTCCGGAAGCCCCAAGTAGCAATAACCTATGAGCAATTGGCAAAAAATGTTTCGAATGTAAAACGTATGCGTATGCAAGTGTGTATGTACGAGTGCAGCACTAGTATCTGGGGAAAGGAGCCCAATGTATTGCCATCCCGTCATCAATGCAAAGCGCATCAGACTCTCATCAAGGACTCGTGTGCTAAATCAGCCTTGCGAGCTCCGCCTCCGCACCTCCTTCTCCACCTCGCAAATTTCCTGTACACCTTCCCTGAAGAAGACCACATTATACTCCACCAGGCCGCGGTGTGCTTCGAAGGTCGCTGTCGGAAGAATCGCTAATAGGGCAACTTGTGGTGTAATGACGTGATATGTAATGATTGTGCCTGTTCCTGCCCCGGTCGAAGGCGAGAGCGCGGTCGCTGCGCTCGGGTAGAAAAGCTCCTTCGCACTGGGGCTAGCCTGATGCGATGCACTCGCAGAGCCGGGGTCGGCGGGGGACATAGCGGGCTGCGAGCCAGGTACACGAGGCGAATTTGGTACTAGTGACCTCGGAAGAGGGGATAACCGGGGACTTGCGGAATGACTTGGAAGGATCTGGAGAGTGGATTTTGGCGTCAGCGTTGCAGGTGATTGCGATGTTAATGCGCGCGGGGATGGAGAAGTGTGATGGTGCAATGGACTGGCGATTGCGGACCTAGACGGGCATTCCTCAATGAGCAACATTGAACGCGCAGGAGAAGACGCGGCGATCACTTGTATAATGGCCCAAATGAATTCAGCATTTTGAGATAGTCGTTGCAGATGTTATGCGTTGGCGCGTCCACCGGTGACGCATCTGTAGCAACATACAGCCTCGATTTGATGTCGAATAGGAATGCTTTTGATGCTTGCGAGTTCTGCGAAGGGGTTAATGTCTGCTCACTGCGTATGATAAAATCACTGACAGCACAGAAGACGTTCAAAAGGTCCTCAAAATATGGAAGGGGCTCGATGGATCGTTGTATTACTCGGGAGAACGCATCGTGCAGGGAGTGGTCATGGATAGACGTGAGCTGGAAATTGATGGGCATTTGCTCAAACTCGGGATCCTCGTCTACGAGCTCCTCGAGTATGCGCCCTTGTATGTATCGGAAATTATCTGCTTGGGATGTTCATAGGCAACAACGCTGCAATGCCGCTACCACGTACCAATCTTATAGTCGTCAGACATTGCCTCAGCCTTATGCACGAAGACTTCCAAGTTGATCTGTGGATTCTTCCGATAAGCGTCGATAAAGGAGTACACAAGCTTGCTAATGGGAGCTTGGTACATGTCCTGCATCTCGCGGGCGAAGACCTTGTAAGCTCATAATTTGACGGACAAGAACCCAGCGTACCTGTATATCGATGACGAATATTACAGTGTCGATGTCCTTCAAATCGACCCCCTCCAGAGCGTCCAGTGGCATGTCTCCCGGGCAGTCCCATATTTCAAGCGGTATAACTGTGCTGAGGTGATTGACCGCCACTCGTCAGAGCATGGTGGTGTGCGGGAGAGCGGACGCACTCATAGATATGCTTAGTTACGCGCATTGTCCTCTCGACATACATCGACTGTTTCGGATCCAGGCCGTTGAATAGGACCTGCTGGATACATGTCTTTCCGCTCCTACAGGGATGCAGTTCATCCAAGACGTTCGCGACTTTACATGGGTGTTATATCGCACCTCCGCATGCCCAGCAGGAGGATCTTTGTCCGCCTCACGTCGTCACTGTGGTTCTGGCCGTTGGCTGGGTGTGGTGCTGCGGCGGTGGCAGTAGAACCGTAGTGAGAGTGAGCCTGCATTGCTGAAGGAGACTGTGTGGCCGTCGTAGCTCGATGTCCGCGGTGGGGGATGCCGATCGGCATGTTCGCGGAGTTGACCGCAATTCAAGTTGACGTATCTGCATTCTCACGGGCCGGCGGTAGAGAAGTGCACGCACGTTCGTGAGTCCTTCTCCTCATTCGTCCCTCAGTTCGTGAAGTGATAAACATGTTGCAGGCGAGCTTGCACGATTTCTCGCTGCTCCTGATTCCATACCAGCATCCTTGCAATGAAGTTTGGTCGCAAGATCACGGTCCGTACCCGCTCGGTGGCTAGCAGGAGGTCATGCTTATATTTGTGCAGAACGACCTCTATAATGAATGGCGGCCTTTCTATATCAACTACAATCTGCTGAAGCGAGAGCTTAAGGTGAGTCTAACTCGTTCTGCCTTTGCTTAGTTTGTCCTGACGCCGGCGACAAGACGCGGACAACATCACGTAATTGGACGGATGACGATGAACATGAGTTCACTCAAATGCTGGAAAAAGAACTGGACAAAATACATACCTTCCAGAAGTCAAAGGTGCGCACATGCAGTTGGCCTCCCGAGTCCTTGCACACCGCTCAGCCCCCCTTCCTGCCCTACAGACTTCCGAACTTTCAACACGAATTAAGAATGCAGAGAAGGCCGTCAAACGGCTAGTCACATCGGATCATATGAACGGGCACCATGCAGATGCCAGCACGTCCACATCGGATCTTGAGGGGAGGCAGAGACAGCCCACCGTGGTGCAGGACGCAGGCTCAGACGACGACGACGACGAAGACGACACCGATGAGGGTAGCGAAGCAATGTCCGTGGACGCGCTGGAGGATCAATTCCTGGCCTTGGAAGAGGAAGTTGCTACACTCGTGGCAGACGTTCACGACCTTGCATTGTATACCAAACTCAACATTACAGGATTCATGAAGATTCTCAAGGTATGCTACCCTGTTGAAGGCTCGAGTAGCGATTAATTGACGTTATCACACAGAAACATGACGTAAGAAGCAAGCTGCACTATGTTTGGTGCACTCTATGTTGACATTGATATGCAGAAACAAACCGGCTGCCCTCTAAAGCCCACATTCATCCAAGAATATCTCGAGAAGAGGCCGTTCTACAAATACAACTGGGATGGCCTCATTGTGAAGCTATCGAAACTGTATGACTTAGTGCGTACTCGCGGGCACCCTGTGCAAGGTGATGCTAGTGCTGGCGGTAGTCAGAGCGCATTCGTGCGGCAGACGACCAAGTATTGGGTGAGTGTGCGGTCCGATCCTCGTATGCGCGCAATGTGGACTGTCTCGCGTGTTGCGTAGGTGCACCCCGATAACTTGGTGCATTTGAAGTTGGCTATATTGCGGCATCTGCCCGTACTTGGTATGTGCTGTTCTCAATAAAAATATGTTTCATGCTGAAGTGCTGCTCTCGCTAGTCTTCAATTCTAACAAGGAGTTTGAGCCCAAAGATGCCGGTACGTGTCCGACATGGAGTGTATGCGCCCGGTTAAGCGTGCTGAATGTGCCAATTGGTAGCTATCACGTCCATCTACTTTGATAATGAAGACCTCGAACTTTATCTTGGCCGCCTTGAGAAGACAGAAGGCGCTGAGGCTATCCGCCTCCGCTGGTACGGAGATATCGGTACCAAGACAGTAGGTGAAACTAGTGCAGAACCTGAAACGTCAGCACTCAACGCCTTCCTTGGTCTAGATATTCGTAGAGCGGAAAACACATCGTGAGGATTGGACAGGAGAGAAATCCGTCAAGGCTCGTTTTCCGATCAAGGAGCACCTCGTGAACGCGTTCCTGCGCGGCGAGTACACGATGGACGAGGAGTTCCAGGAACTTGTCAAGAAAGGCAAGAAGAGCCAGCAGGAGGTAGATGCGATGACACAACTTGCGAACGAGGTGCAGTATGCGATTTTGACCAAGAAGCTCGTCCCAGGTGCGTCACCGATGATCGCGTGTGTGACGGATGGACGGAATTAACTTCGATATGCGCCTCTGGTAGTGATGCGTACGTTCTACAATCGGACGGCGTTTCAGCTACCTGGCGATGCACGCGTGCGGATATCTCTCGACACGGAACTTACTATGATCCGGGAGGATAATTGGGATGGCCGCATCCGGTCTGGCGACAACTGGCGGAGAACGGACATTGGACTCGACCATCCGTTCCCACAGGTCCCTCCAGAGGACAAGGAGCTGTTCAAGTTGGTGATCATTTGCTCTTGTCACCGTGGCCTTGTCGATTTCAGGTGACATTGACCGTGAATGTTGACTAGGTATGGCGTGCTCGAAGTCAAATTACAGACACAGTATGGACAAGAGCCCCCACAATGGGTTACTGATCTTGTATCGTCACATCTTGTGGAAGCTGTGCCTAAGGTTAGGGATTATACTCCTTCTTTAGCGACCTTGCTCATGTCGTCCTTTCTTGTGGTCATAGTTTAGGTGTGTTTGAGCGTTTGGACGACTGAAAGTAGTTTCTAATGCTGACTGCAGCAAATTCATCCATGGATGCGCGACCCTGCTGCCGAACCGAGTTGATCTAGTCCCCTTCTGGCTACCGCAGAGTGAGTGTGATTGTCCTTATCATCTACTTGTACTCAATGATGACTGCTCTCAGTGGATACCGACATCTTGAAGCCAGACACCGGTGCTCTCATGATTGAACGCCCTCCACATATTTCTCCGAAGGGAACGTCTGAGCGCTCAGCCGGAACGACTACGCCGGAAGAAGCGCGCACGGTGTATGCTGAGCCTGTATCGGAAGGAGAGGAAGATGAGGAGATGGCTCCTGGTACGTACCTTGGCAAAACACGTGGATACAGCAAGATTTAACGTTCCCACAGCCAAGGACGAGGTTAAGCGCACTGGTCTAAACAGCGAGGAAGTGGCAGCTGCCATCGCGTACCGAGAGAAATCTATCAAGCAACAAGACGAGGCAGAGCGCCGCGGGGCTCAGAGTCCAAGGCAGCCGGCGGTCCAGGCGCACGATATGGCTGCCCATCACAATGGCGGCGCGGGAGCTGAGACCGACGAAGAGGAAGGGGAAGTTGACGAACGCACACCATTCCTGCGCGGTCGTACGACGTCAAATAAGCCGACGACGGCTATCGAACGCTCGCAGACGCGTACACTCTCCATTGATCCACTTGCGACGTCATCTGTTTTCGACGAGACGTTGCGCGATCGTCTGAGGAAAGATGCCGAACGCCAGAAGCAGGCCGAGGAAGCTTCAGTCGAGGAAGAGGAAGAGGGTGGTAGAATGGAAGGCACTTCAAGATCGGCTCGGAGATCGTCAAGGCAAGAAGACGAACGTGTGCTGGAGCGGCGCTGGGTTGCACCTCCCGGAAAGCGCATAGCGGTTCCCGTGCGCATCGAACCGAAGGTGTATTTCGCTGCGGAGCGTACGTTCCTGGTAGGTGTCAAAATCAAGATAGCGCGTGTCGGGACTGAATGTTGACCATCGCTGCTCTTATAGAAATGGCTCCACTTCGCGATTGTCATTGGCATGATCGCCACCACGTTGCTCAACTTCGTGCCTCCTGGAGACACTACGGGTCTCATCAGCGCGGGGCTTTTTACGCTTGCTGCACTAGTCGCGATCGCATATTCGGCAATCATTTTTGTCTATCGGTCTCTGAGGCTGCGGAAGCACCGCGCGGAGGGTATGTATTATGACAAGTACGGACCGACGGTGCTGTCGCTCTTCTTGCTGGGAGCGCTAGCGACGAATATCGCGCTGAGGCTGAGGGAGCTGTGAGTGTGAGCGGATTGATCATTTTTCTCCTTTTCCATCACGCAACTCCGGACTTCATATGTAGCACTTGTAGCTATACAGCCACCTGGCTAATGTTTATCTATACCACGTAGTCATGGATGCATACGATTTGTCCTTAACCTCACGGTGGCCATCCTCGACGGAAAATGATGTTCACCATCAGTAGTGCACGTGTCGACCAGATCGACAAACTCGAACGCGCGCTTCTTGCGCGCTGCTCGTTCTCTGCACCGACCGATTGCCAACATCCTTCGACATCCGGTACGTGTCCCCGCTATGACTGTTGCATTGCTTTATGATGCTCTATTCAATACTTATCTACATTGTCCGACATGAAATTACTCATGTTTGACGACAAAATCTCGTCTGAACTTCTTCTGATGTACGCTTTTTACAATTTCATGCACTGATGCCCCTTCATTTCAGGCTGGTCTATCTCGAGTCTTTGCGGTTGACGTTGAGCATAGGAAACTTCCTGGAGGTTGAGTTTCGCAATTGGTCTCACGTAATATATCGGTTGTCACCGCAGTCCTCCGACAGGCTGATGACCTTCTCGCTGGTGTATATAGCAGTACCAAATGAATTTTTACTTCCAAGCAGCTAAAGTGCTTGACAAACTAGATGCGAAGCAAGGGTCTATCAAGAGCATCATCGCGACCGTGAATGAGAAGGACAGGAAGAGGACCGCCGCGCTTGTTATCGAGACGCTGAAGTGTGAGGATAGTTCTGGGTGATGTGAGTGTGCTGCGACTGAAGGACCACTCAGACAAGCCAATATTGAACGAAATACTCGATGCTACGAAGCTGCTCAAGGAAGAGCGGAAAATCACTTCAAGGAGCCTTGCATTGGTGCTCACACACGACCTCCTGCTAGCGAGCGGCATACAAGCCGGTGATGGACCCATCAAGCAAGCTATCCTGAGACACAAGACGAGACTCCACAGCGAGTTCACGCGAATCAAGATCAAACGCGGGGTGAAGTCGAATAGCGAGCTTGCGCTGGGAGACGATGCCCGAGCAGGTGTGTTGATCGCGGCTCGCTCTGCCACAGTACATTAACTAAGCTTGTTTAGCTCGCATCCCTCGTTACGTGCGCATCAACACATCATGTTGGACAACTGAAGAAGCAATCCCAACATTCGTCGCTCGTGGATTCGAACTAGCGGATCCATTCGCATCAGAGTTGAGAGACTCCTGTCAACCGCGCCATCTCACATTTGACTCACGTTGGCATGAATAGAAGCAGCTTCGCGCGAGATGAGCATATACCCGACCTGTTGGCGTTCAATCCACGGACGCAGTTCGTGGATGACCTGCTGTACAAGGAGGGCAAGATCATCCTTCAAGACAAAGCGTCTTGCTTTCCTGCGTTCGTGCTGTCGCCTGACGACAAGAGCATGGTCATCGATGCAACTGCCGCTCCTGGAAACAAGACTTCTCACCTCAGCGCTCTCATGGGTAACAAAGGCAAGGTGGGTGCTTAAGATTTCCCTTCTGCCGGCACTGTGAGACCTATAGGTCACTACTGATCTGTCTTCAATCCAGCTTTTTGCTTTTGAACGCGACAGAAAGCGCTTCTCTACACTCAAAACTATGTTGTCCAAAGCTCATTGCCGTAATGTCGAAGCCGTCAACGTGGATTTCCTGACGACCTCTCCGACCGATGAGAGGTTTTCTCAAGTAACGCATATGTAAGTGCGACGGCCGCAGTCCTCTTGATAAATGCATTGCCCATATTTATTCGCGTCCAGTCTGCTAGATCCGTCCTGCAGTGGGTCGGGCATTGTGAACCGCCTTGACCATCTCCTTGAGACAGGCAAGTCCTAAGCTAGTGTTGATAAACTGCTTTTCGTTGACGATATAACTGTTCAGAAGATGAGAACGACGCGGAGCAAGATCGATTGAATAAACTCGCCACTTTTCAACTACTAATGATTAGACATGCTATGAAATGTATCTATCTATCGCTACAGCACATCGCCCCAAGCATTGATAGCAGCCCATCTCTAGTTCCTTCTATCCAGAGGATAGTGTACTCAACCTGCAGTGTTCACGCCATTGAAAATGAACACGTGGTCCGGAAAGCGTTGGCAACCGACGAATGCTCAAAGGGAGGTTTCCAGCTTGCGGATCCAGCAATGGTGCTACCTGGCTGGAAACGACGTGGACTTGCGGATGAGATGGGGAACGCCGGTACGCAGTTTGTTGCTGGTAATGCGGGCACTCTGATAGGACTGATGTTGTTACCCCATATAGCCGAGGCCCAGTCTCTGGTGAGATGCTCTCCTGACGAAGATGCAACGAATGGGTTCTTCGTTTGTCTGTTCGTCAGGGTCGAGCCTGAGGATGAGAACAAGCTCTCGGAGATCGGGAGTCGAAAAAGGGGGGCTGCGGACAGCGAGGTCGAGGCATCGGATGCAGGTGAGAGGAAGCGTCGGAAGATGAGGAAGAAAGCGAAAGCGAATCCGGATCGACGGTGACTGGATGTTTCCACCCTCATTTACTGATGCAGTTCTGTGGGATATTGAATTGCTATCGAATAGGCTCACACCCTCTCAAAAGGACATAAATGAACTAAAGTAGCTAGAGTATTAAGGAAGCTACAAATGAGAAGAGGGTGGTGACGTGATCAGACGCTCACGCCCCTTGTCGATGGTCAGTTACTATCGAATACAAACCGTTCCATGACAGGATCTGATCGGGAAGGTGAGTTCGTCAATTTTGCCAGGCCCAGTCAGAATGAGTAGCGTCGATAAGAATCATCTCGAAGAGTGCAGCTGGACAGGGTGAGAAAGGTGAAAGAAGCCGGGGAGAGATTACCGGAGATTCACTAGAAGGGCGAGCTGGGTTAATGCGCGGGAGTACCGGTCTGCTGCTGAGTGTACTGGTTCTGGTAGTATTGCGCGTAGCTGGCTGCATAGTCCTGCGACTGCTGGTAGTATCCGGTCCCTTGGCCGTAGCCGGCTTGGCCGCTCCATTGCTGAGGCGCAGTACCGCTGTACCCGTTACTATAACCGCCGTATGGCGTTTGAGGTGGGCGATAGCCGCCGCTGCTCTGCTGGGGAACCACGTTGCTGCTCTGCCAGACTTCCGGACGGCGCCATGGAGGGATGTTCGAACCACCCGCGGTAATGTCGTGTCCTGCCGACCCAGCCCATGGCGTCGCTCCACTACCCCCACCTGGACCTTTACCAGTCTCCCCAAGCTCCGCCATCAAGCTGGCATATTCGGAGTCGAACCCGCCCTTCATAACAGGAGGAGGAGCGCTAAGGATGGCGTTAGGATCCCTGTTAACAGTGCAATCCCGGGCCATGTGACCAGCACTTCCGCAGACACGACAGATGATATTGGCTGTGAAGTTACGTTGCTCCGGACAGTCGTACTTCCGGTGACCGACACCGCCGCAATTCTGGCAGATCTGGTTCTCGTCATCGCGCAACGTTCCGTTTAGGGCAGCTAGTTCGCGGAGTTGGTTACGTTTGTGATCATTTTGACCCTCCGGCGTGGAAGCAGCCTAGATTACAAGAACATCAGCTCGCCGAACATTTCGACATATGAATAGCACAACTTACCGTTTCTATGACCTTGTTGATGAGCTTGACACATAGGACAACTTTGTCCTCTGTGTCAGCAGTCACAAGACAGTGGAGGTCCTCCTCCGCGTCTTCAGCATACTGTTCAGGCCTTGCCTTGCCCTCTTTAACGCTACCCTTTCCTCTGATGCTAATCTTAGCTCCACTGTCCCTCTCCATCTTCTTCAGACTGTTACCACGAGGACCGACGAGCAAACCAAAGAAGTTGATCTCTGGGAACTCCTTGACTGGAATGTACACCTTCTCAGAAGGTCGTTGCGACCGCTTCTGTTGGTGATACTCGACGGGCGGACGGAAGTTGGGGTCATTCTTCATCGCCCGGTCGACAAGTCTGATCCGCTCGTCCTCGAGCTTTTTGCGGTAACGAACTTCTCGAGTGTTAGTGCGACGACCGTGCGCATCATAAGTTGGAGGAGGGGAAGGTGAGCTGTACGAGAGTCAGTTAGCTCGGAACAACCGCATACAAACAATGTACCTACCGTTCACGCTCAGGAGGGATGAAATCGTTCAACCGCAACTTCCGGTTAATCTCTTCCAGCCGAAGGTGGATGGCATAGTTGTCTAGGTGAGCCTGCGATACACCATTGGCGGAGATAGCGGTAGGCAGTCCGGGGATCTCATTCTTAGAGTCACCGAAGCGACTGCGGCGCTTGCGGGGTGCGTTAGGGTCAGCTAAGCGGTCAAAAAAAAATTAGAATGATCAGGTCAGTAATCCGTCAGCGTTAGTAAAGGAGCGCGGAGCGAGAGCGATGGGCAAGATATGTCATTGTATACAGTCTGCAACATCCGTGAGCTCGCAACCAATCCTGACTTACCTCCATTGCTTGTAGAAGTGGGCGTTGAGCCACGATCTTGCCTATAGCCGTCTCTGTCCCTGTCATTGTGAGGCTGTGGTCGGGGATAAGCAGAAGGAGATGGCTGGGCGAGCTGAGGAGGAGCAGTTTCTTCTGTGGGTGCAGGACCGAACCGGCGACGATTGCCCAGAGGCGCTGCAACAAATTGTCAGCGGATTAGACACCAAAATTCGGAGCATACTTACTGTCGTTCGTTCCTGTAACTTCGCGAGTCGCGGGTCGCCACATTATCGAGAAAACAAGAAGGACAAAGAGAGAGCAATAAGAGAGCAGTGGTGGATGACTGATCTGTCGAGGCAATGAATGCGAACGCTCTGAAGAATTAGTCATTTTCAAGCTCCGTTTGAAATCCTGTGGCGGTGGCGCGCAGGTGCTCTTGACCAGGATCTTGGTCATCTTGAGAGGCAACCTCTGTTGCTCCGTAACCTTCACGGACCTAGCAGCGCAGTTTACGATCTTCTGTGCTCTAGATCTCACACAAGGATCGACTGGCGCAGCACAGAATGCCCATGAAGCGTTCAGCAGAAGGTAGGACACGCCCTGCTGAGTCAGTGTACTAGAGTCCAATGCTCTCGCCTTTTGCAGATTCGTACTACCCGTCCAAGCGATCCAGGAAAGGCAAGGACGACGACGAGTACATAAATATTGATGATGATGACTACGCGGAGCTGCAATCACCTCCAGATACGTCTCTTGTACCTCGAGGCGCAACGATCAAGTTCAGTGCCCTTACGCGCAAGCTAGCGGAAGCGAAGAAGACGAAAGGTGCCGAGGATGGGCAGAATGAGGGCAGCCTTAGCCAGCACCGGCGGCAACAAGACAATCTCGTTTCACACATATTCATGGACCAGGATTTCTCGTGGTTGCACCTGAAAGCTGATCACGCATCGCGCCCACTTTGGATCAGCCCTGAGGACGGTCACATCATTCTTGAAGCGTTTTCTCCCATTGCGGAGCAGGCGCAAGACTTCCTTGTTGCTATTAGCGAGCCTGTCAGCAGGTATGCATGCCCATCGTTCGGTAGGATTAGCACTAGACCAATAATCTCCAGACCGGCCTTCATTCACGAATACAAGCTCACTTCGTACTCGCTATATGCTGCCGTATCCGTCGGACTACAAACCGAGGACATAATAGAAGTCCGTGCGCTTGTCGCCACAGCTATAACGAGTTGCTTACTAATTTATGAGTATACATTAAGGTGTTGAACCGATTGTCGAAGGTCAGTACACACGTCGTCTAGGTGGTTTGCATCCTCACGCCCATCAAGGTGCCTGTACCGGAGAGCATTGTAACCTTCATCCGGGAACGGACACTGTCTTACGGCAAGGTCAAACTCGTGCTGAAGCACAACAAATACTATGTCGAATCATCACATCCAGAGACCCTGCAGATCCTGCTGAAGGACAAGACCATTCGCGATGCCCGTGTCCACTCCCAGCCCACCGATAACAGCATCAAAGCCGCAACGTTTACCACTTCAAAAGCGCCTGTTAAGGGAAACCTTGTCATCCCTGGTGCTAGAGAGGCTGAGAAGAAGAAGGATGATGTTGCTGCAGGCAAGGGAACTGCGGCCGCCGGTCGTACTAATACGGATGCCGAGCTGTTCACTTCCGTTGTCGGTGTAGACGCTGGTACGCTTCCACGCCTTTTCTTGCTTTGCCATAGGCTCGCGATTGCTGAGTTGAAGTAGATGAGGTAGATGAGGACGACGAGAACGTTCACGCCTTCGAGATCGATGATGCAAAGATCGACGTACGGTCAGAACCGCTTACCGAGTGAATTGCCCCTGACCCTTCTTCAATTTTCAGGATGTGAAAAAACGGTGTAACGAGCTCGAATACCCAATGCTCGAGGAATATGATTTTCGAAATGACACGGTCAATGCCAATCTTGACATCGATCTCAAGCCCTCGACCGTCATCCGACCATATCAGGAAACGAGCCTGAGTAAGATGTTCGGCAATGGGTGAGTTTCTCCGCCATTTCATATTAATTTACTCATCGCTAAAGGGTATAAAGCCGTGCGCGTTCTGGCATCATTGTCCTACCATGCGGTGCGGGTAAAACCCTTGTGGGCATTACCGCAGCGTGTACCATCAAGAAGTCATGTCTTGTCTTGTGCACTTCATCGTGAGTATCGTACTTTATTCCGGTTAGTCCATAGCCGCTTAACCGACGACCAGGGTGTCCGTGATGCAATGGAAGCAGCAGTTCATGCAGTGGTCGAATGTCACCGACCGCCAAATTGCCGTTTTCACGGCCGATCAGAAGGAAAAGGTGAGCCGTCCGTCGCCCACTGCCCAAACGATCCTTATCGACCGATCTGCGATGCAGTTCGCCGGCGATAGTGGAATAGTCATCTCGACTTATTCAATGGTCGCGAACACACACAATCGGTCACATGAGTCAAAGAAGATGATGGAATTCCTCACGTCGCGAGAATGGGGGTTCATTCTGCTCGACGAGGTGCATGTCGTGCCCGCAGCCATGTTCCGCAGGGTCGTAACGACCATCAAGGCACACTCGAAGCTCGGACTAACAGGTACGCGTCGGGCTTACAGCGCACTTTGAAGCCGCGCTGACGGAGACTTCTTAGCGACCCTGGTCCGCGAGGACGATAAGATCTCTGACCTCAACTACATGATCGGGCCGAAGCTATATGAGGCGAACTGGATGGACCTCGCCGCCAAAGGGCATATTGCGAACGTTCAGGTACGTTGTCATGGAGCTCTGTCTGAGTTGTTCTGATTGGGTGCATGTGATCAGTGCGCGGAGGTGTGGTGTCCTATGACGCCGGAATTCTACCGCGAATACCTGCGCGAGCAGTCGCGCAAACGCATGCTGTTGTATTGTATGAATCCGCGAAAGTTCCAGGCGTGCCAGTTCCTCATAAAATACCACGAGGACCGCGGCGATAAGATTATTGTCTTCTCTGATAATGTCTATGCGCTGGAGGTTAGTGGCGCTGTTCGAAACTTCGTAGTGTGACTGATGGGATTCTCACCGATGAAACCATCATTTAGGCATATGCCAAGAAACTCGGGAAGCTGTATATCCACGGCGGCACCGGGCAGGTGGAGCGCATGAGAATTCTGCAATGGTTCCAGCATAGCCCGGACGTCAACACCATCTTCTTATCCAAAGTGAGCGGCGCGTTCGTAGAACCCTTTGTCGTTTTCTAACTCCATTAACGTCGTAGGTTGGCGACACGTCCATCGACTTACCGGAAGCCACATGCCTCATTCAGATATCTTCCCACTTCGGGTCCAGACGGCAAGAGGCACAGCGGCTGGGTAAGTCTCATCGTCGTGAGTATCCGTGCCTAAGCTGATCGCATGGTCTGCAATTTAGGACGCATCCTCCGCGCTAAGCGGAGAAACGATGAGGGCTTCAACGCGTTCTTCTATTCTCTCGTCTCCAAGGATACCCAGGAGATGTTCTATAGTACGAAGCGCCAGCAGTTCCTCATCGATCAGGGTTATGCGTTCAAGGTGATCACCCATCTCGACGGACTGGACAACCTTCCGGACCTGGTCTACAAGTCGCGCGACGAACAGATTGAGCTGCTCTCTTCAGTGCTGCTCGCGAACGAGAGCGAGGCTGATCTCGGATCGGACGTGCGTGCAGGCGAGGGAGACCTGGCGGGGACGATCACGTCGAAGGACTTTGGGCTGCCGACCAAGTTCCCGGGAGTGCAGCGGACGGCGGGCTCGCTCACGGCGCTCAGCGGCGGACAGCACATGTCGTACGTCGAGCAGAACAAGTCGGCAAACAAGAAGCTCGCGCGGGAGGCGCCGTCCCGGCACAAGCTGTTTGCGAAGCGGGACAAGGAGCTTGCGGCAGCACGCAAAGAGGCGAGGGCACTCGCGAAGGCACAGGGTGCATAGGGATGAGACGCTGCGTTTGCACGCTGCTGATGGGCTCCCCATTTGGGGTAGCGTCGGCTGAGGGACCACGTTTACGAGGACTGTTACCGTATATCATTTGTATAATTTGCACATTTACGGCTGGCGTCATGCATAGAGATCATTACAAATTCCAGCAGGATATGATGACCGACATCGTATGATCGGGGCGAGTGTGAAGGGTGCTCTTTTCGCTAAAGGGTTTGCAGCCGTGCTGGCGAGACATGCAGGGACGACGAGAAGAGCTAGAGCTTCATAAAAGTGAGGGCAGGTGGACACGCCCGTAAAGGGGAGCGGGAGCGGAGAGTGATCGAACACCCCGAGATCTGATTTGGACTATTATACGTGAATTCAACATGACCCTTCCCCACCTTCGATCTATCACATTTTCAAATGGTCTCATTGCAGAATTGGCAATTTGAAGCCATCTCGCAATGGTCGAGTTAACGTTGTGATCGAAGGCAATCGTCAAGGACGGTCGCCGCGCGCAGGGTGCCCACGGAACGACAGAGAAGCGCACACGCCGGTGGGGTGCACAGCCGTGTAGAAGCCCAAACTGAATAGGGCTGGACTGAGTCACACGGACAGGCAATGCTGCCGACGGATTCTTTGTGTGCGGCCTTCTATCCGGTCGGATGCCTGTTTAGTGCAGCGAATGCAAGATGATCAAGGTGACTCCATCCGGAACGGGAAGGCAGAATGTGGCCGGGTCCCGCGCTCCGGGCTGTGTCCATGGCGTGTCCAGGCAGACGAGGCGGTGAGTCGGCGGGCGGACGGCCTGCGATAATTCCCGAGCGAAATATCAGAGTTAGGATTTAAAGTTGACAGCCAGAAGCTCGCGGGCATGCTGATCGCGAAGGATCTTGGTAAAGGGGCACGTGACGGACATCAGAGCCATCAGGCCGCTCAGGGTCAGGTGCAGTGGGCGAGTCTGGGGAGGGCATTGGACGGGAACTGGCCGAGGGGAGCATGAGCCGGCGGCACTGGATGCGGGCGGTGCGGGGCAATGCCATATTCGGCTGTATCACATGGGAGCTGGGCCTCTGGACGTCGGACGGTCGGCGCACCTGACGCAGACGGTCGAGAATGCGCGCACGGGCCTCGTCCCTGCCGTCCCCGGTGTCCCCCTCTCCCTCGTCCTCCTCCCCCACTTTTCCCCATCGCCGCTCGCACGGACGTGCCAGGGAAGCGAGAAGATATTGCCAGCGGTTATCTGGGCAGATTGGTCGCAAAGTTCACGGGAGGAACGACCTCGCGACGGCTGCAGAAGTTTCCTGTCTGGGTCGGACCCCTCTGGCCCTCCGCATGCTGATCGACGCGCCAAACTCTCAATTTATGACCTCCCATTTCCTAGCGCCTCTATATCTGTCACATGCATCTTCAAGTACCTCCATCTCCTCCGGTCCCTCCGCAACAGCCCTTCATCTCCCTCTTCCACAAGTTTTCCCCATCTACGCTTCATGTCCTCCTCCAAACGTGGCCGCAAACGAAACGACAACCTTCCCCCGAACCGTGCCCGTGACGTCCAGCGTGCTTTCCGTGCCCGTCGCGCAGCTCATCTCCAGGTCACTTTCCTCCACCTCATGTGCTGCGTTGTTCGCTCACCGTCTTTCCTCTTTTTCTCCCCACAGGCCTTGGAAGAACGAGTGACCGAGCTAGAGGAAGAGAACAACACCCTCCGTGCTGCTCTTAGTCTCCCGCCCGCGAACCGTCCTGCGCTTGGCAAGGGCCCTACCGGCAAGGACAAGCCAAAACCCCTACCCCAATCCCCTTCACAGATGGCGTCAGGTTCAGGCCCGTCTACCCTCCCTCCCATCTCCACTCTCCCCATGCCCCAGACAGGCCACATCCCCGGCCTTAGCAGCCGGACTGACTCGCCGTCCTCCACCTCCACCCGAAATACATCTCTTTCGCCCACGAGCCTGAATGCCGCCCTCGGGCAGACGTCGCAGTCGTTGCCCGGCTTGGAGGCTGCGACTTGGGACGATTCCATGTTCATGGGCAAAGATCAGCCGGAACCTTCTACCTCCTACACTATTCCGCCGGTGCCGGGTCCGTCCAACTCGCAGTCGCCATCGTACGCGTCCTCAGCGTCGCGCCAATCGATGGAGGACACGTATATGCCCGTCCAGGCCAACTACCCGTACGCCTCCGAAAGGCCCATGGGCGCCGCCGACAACTATTCAGGCGCGAACTCAGCGTTTCTCCTACGCGATGAGCGCCGTTTTACCTATCCACAACCTTCATTTCCCACGCATGCCGGTCAGCTTCAGAGTCATTCCTCTCCTGTATCTGCCATGTCGCCAACTGTGCCCCCGCAGAGCGGGAACGTTTCTATCCAGAATATGCCGTATGCCCATCGACGGTCGATTACAGAATCGCAGGGCTACCGGCCTACACTTGGGCAAATTCCCCCACTACAGCAAATGCGTCTCCCCCATCCACACGCGCTCACCAACCGCCTGTCCTCCCCCTCGCAGCTAGCCGGTTCTGGGGTGCTGCCCCCACCTCAGGGGTACGAGGTTAGTGGGGACCGCAGACTTGACAGGATGCGATAGAATATGTATGGTCATTTTTTGGTTACGTTGGTTGCATCTGTGTTGTCACATCCCCTGCAAGGACTCCGCATGAAAAGGCATAACTGTATCCGTACTCACAAGTCTCGAACGCGCTGCTCGTGCAACCGCTCTCGTCTGCTATCCTACATTTTCTGCTTCTTGTACCAGCAGCAATCGTCATGATCTTCTACTAGGTTAGACCAGCCTACAACTCGCCGCAGTGCTCCTAATAAACATCCCATGCCCGAGGTGCGAAGCCTCCCCGTCGCGCCCACATAGCTGACAAAACTTGAGAACGACAGTGCCCGCATATCACGGATCGCGCATCGACCACCCTCGATACCGCCGCTGTTTGCGCGGCCAAGATCGGAGGGGCCGGGGACATCAGCCTAGACACCGCCCGTGCGCCTGCGGCCCCGGCACTTGCCTTGTCGCTAGCAACGGGGTGCGCCGTGTCATCTCCGCTTCAAGCTCCCTGTGCGTAACGTAATGATGTCCGCGGTGAGGTATATACAAAGCTACCGTTTACATATACATGCACATTGCATGCGGTGTCTCCGCATGCGTTTCCTCCAAACAAAGCGAATACTCCCGGACAAAGTCCCAGTAGATACAATCAGCATCATCAACGTGTGCTGTTCCCCCCAATGATGGACGCTTCGTCAGCGGCGCCAGGGCTGACCGACGACCGAGTCACGACTTTTGACGGATGCCGAAATGACCGAGGAAATGCTGTGGGGCATCGACAGGGTACATATGGCTCGATTCACATAACCCCTCTGGTCCGCGTGGACGCTGTGGCGGATGATGCGGCGATCAGTCATTTTAGTATAAATCAATCCTCGTTGCAGAACAAGGACACGGACGGTGGGTTCAGTCTTGCCCTCTGCGCGCGCTGAGTTTGCACCAATGCACGCATCCGTCGTCGCCGTACTTCTCCCGCAACCAGTCGTTGGCTTTTTTGAAGTGGCCGTTGCCCAAGAAGCCCCTGCTCGCGCTTAGCGGTGACGGATGCTGCCAACGCGAAAATGATGAGCGTGTGAGTGGCGCGCGCCAAGCACGGCGCCGTGTACGTGTGCGAAGACGAGGGTGCGGGCTTACCGCGCTGGTGAGGATGAGGTGCTTCGTCTGCAGGGGCGTGGCAAACGCAAAATTAGCTGCGCGTGCCACGCACACACGGTAGTCGGAAGTGGGCTCGCCTTGTCGAGCTTGGAAACGCGTTTGGCAGCCCAGGCACCCCAGGCGAGGAAGACGATGCCGCGACCGCGGCCGCCCGCATCGTCGAGATTGGCGCCGCCGTATCGGTCGACGGCGTCGACGACCTTGTCGGTGAAGGTCTCCCAGCCTTTGCGTGAGTGGGAGCCGGCGTCGCCCGCGCGCACGGTGAGGCAGGTGTTGAGGAGCAGCACGCCATCCGCCGCCCAGCCTGTGAGGTTCCTGCGGCAGCGGCGTGAATGGATCTGTCAGTGCGTGGGTGGGGAGGACAGGCCGGATGCAGTGCGCACCCGTGCTTCGGCGGCTCGAACTGTGGATACTCTTGCTTGATTTCTGCATAGATCTGGGCCGGCGGACGATGAGCGGCGTGCCGGTGTGTAGGTGGATGGATTAGAAGACGTACGTTACGCAAGGACGGAGGGACGGGGACGCCAGGAGGGACGGAGAAGCACAGCCCTGGATGCGTATTAGGCAGGTTGCGGCGACCGGGATGGTAAGATTAAATGGAACTAGTGCAGACTGACCGTGGGCCTGCCCGGGGCCGTGGTACGGATCTTGGCCGATAATAACGACTTTGACGCGTCCGAGGGGGGTAAGTTTGGACCAGGCGTAGATGTTTTTCGCTGGATGCGTGGGATGGGTGATCCGCGGAGTCGGAAGGGCAAACACTCACGGGCGGGGTATATTTTGAGGTTGGGGGCGCTGTCGTTCGGGCCCTTGACGCCGGCGTCGTATAGGAATCTTTTGAGCTCGATGAAGTAGGGCTTCCTGATTTCGTCGTGGAGGACCTTCAGCCTAGTGGCGCCGCGCCAAGTTAGTCCGTGCAGGGCGGATCGATGGCTGATGTGCGCGGTGGCAACGACGCACCAGCTGGTCCCCATGGTCTCGCACTCGAGCGCGAGCAGCTTTTTTTCTTCATCTGACAGCGACTGCTGGAACTGGGATACGGAGAACTCGATCGCGTCGAGGGGCGTTAGTGCGTTGAGAGACGAGGATGAGTGGGTGGAGATGGAACGCGCTGCGGTGATCTTGATCTTCTTGTTGGGAGGTGCCCCGCCGGAGGGCGCGCCACCCGAGAACATGTCCATGAGCGTGCGCTGGCGCTTCGCGGAGGAGGCATTGTCGTCCGAGACATCCTTGGTGACGGCGACGGTGGATGTGGGTGCGGCGCCGGGAGTGGCGTTCTCCGAGGGCTGCTGCACAGCCTTGGAGGGAGAGTCGAGGTCCTCGAGGTAGACGACGCGTTCTGTGGGGGCCATGGGGCGGAAATGACGAGGCGGAGGTCGAGACGGGAGATGGATGCGCGGTCGAGGACGCGTCGCGGCCAACATCGAGACGCGTTATTGCCGCCGATCGCGACCACGTGGCCCCTCACCCAAATAAGGAGGCCGCCGACGGTAGGGAATGCAAAAATCGAAGGTAAGTTAAGCAGGTCACACAGCGTGCATAGCAACATTTTTCCATTGGAAAACAGTAGAGAAACTCTGAAAACTTATTAAGCTTTGATTTGGAAAAACAGTGAAGAAATTGAAGCTTCCTCCATCATCAAATTGCTATATATGGGCATACACTACCCAAATATGGAGAACACTACATAATATTTCTTAACATTTTTCCAAGGCAGGGCTTTATATTCTTTTACTACATTTTCATGGTTTCTTCAGTGGAAAAATATTGCTATGCACGCTGTGTGATCACACTTCCTATTTCCCGCGCCCTACCAAGTACAGTCTCTCTGGATTCATCCCGCAGATGCAGCAGCGCGGACGACCAAAGCTCGACGTCGACATGGACGGGGTGGACAGCGCACACCGCGCTCAAAATGATGCCCGACGTCGACGGGCCCGTGTTAAATCGACCACGTGGCCGCAGCCCTCGTTCCAGACTGTCTGCGTGCTCTCCACTCCATCGTCCTTCACCCCTGCTCCTCCACTTACTTCGTGTTTCTGTTGCACTTGCCAAGCTGCCGCGTACACCATCCTCCCCGTCTCCGCCCGCGTCCAGACACCATGGGCGCGCTGAATTCTCCAGGAGGACCCCTGGCCGCAGACATCAGGTAGCGTCCACCTCAAACACGCTCAGCGCCGCGCCGCAGCGCCCGCCCCTGCAGGACTGGAGCACGAGCTACATGGGAGGATCCTCCGGGTACGCTCGTCGTGGTGTTGTGAGATGTCCCCGCGTGACCTGGTACGTTGCAGTTCCAACTCGGACGACTCTTCGGATGACGACTCGGATGTCACCGACGACGGCTTGCAGCAGTCCAGAGGACGTCCCCTCGCGAAGAAAGCTGCGGGAAACTCAAAGAAGATAAAGGGCGCTGCGGGGAACGCGGACAAGGCAGCTGGCGCGCAGCCACCGCCACGTCGGACGGGCAGCGCGCGGCGGGGGGAAAGCCCCGTGCACTTGCACCAACGTCGCACCTTCACCCGCTCTCGATCACCCGCGCTCAATGCTGCCAACGGCTTTCATTTCGGCACCAGTATCCACCCCCCGCGCCCGTCCTCGCCGTCCCTCTTCTCGAAGCCCTCGCCGACCGAGATCCGCAACCTCTTCCCGAGCTTCCTCCATCTCACCGTGCGCGTCCCCTTCTCCCCCGCGCGGTGGCGTGTCACCCTCGATCTGCGCCAGGCAGCAGAGAACAGCATCCTCATCTGTTCCGCCGGCTATGCCGCGGCCAAAATGTGCGCGTGCGCGCGTGAACCATTGTCCCCGGATCTATGGAACGCCCGCGACAGGCTGTCGCCGGAGATGTGGATTTCTATAGGTGCCTGTCGTGTCGTTCTTCGTGGAAGCAATACGCGGTGCTGAACTCGCGTTTACGTTATCCCGCCCTGTCAGAGCTCGCGCTACTCATCATCGCTTCGGTCGTGTACTTTTTCATTACAAGGCTCAGTTGGACAAAATTAGGGACAATTTCGGATAGTGCCGCCGTGAAGCCGACTAATGTGCCTGACAGGCCTGCGTCGCCCCGCATCGTCGAGGGCAGGGACAACAGGCGCATACCGCTGCCCTCACCCACCAACTCGGGCCACTTTGGCTTCGTCTGGATGACCGTGCCCAAGAACTACCGGTGAGTTATTTTAATCCTTTTATCTACAACTTTATCTACATCGTGTCATGCGTTTCAATTAGGGATTCAGCAGATGACGGTATGCTGACAGGGCTATTGACCGGCCCGCTCATGTCAGCCGCGCTGCTGTACATCGCAGAGCGGGCACTCGCGACAGGCACAGATCCGCGGCCGCCAAATTGGTACGTCGATCCACCGCGCGTGCTGCCGCAGTCGCTCGCGGCGTTGATCGTCGCCCGGCGGAATCTGGTGGATCTTGCGACGGTGTGCTCGACAATACTGATCGTGCACGTCACGGCGTCGTGGATGACGGAGCGGCGGCATCGAAGGCGGGCGGGCGCGAAGGTGCCTGAGGGGGAGGTGAGCTCCGTGCCGCGGAAGGAGGGTTGGAGGACGTACTTGTATGGGCTGTTTGCGGTGAGCGTGAGCATGTGGGTGCTTTGTGTGAGGATCGCGCTCGCGGAGATGAGGCTGGGGATATGGCAGAGTGAGTGCTGCAGTTCATTAATTTCGTATTCTGTTGTGACGTTGATGGGCGTAGATGTGAATTACTACGAGATCGTCGCGCTGTCGATGTTCTTCCAGTTCTCGCTTTACATTTCGATCCGGATGGCGCACCATGGGTTCACGCTCGGCGAGCTCGCGATCGTGTGCTTTGGCGGGACGGTGCTCTTTATGGAGGGCGTCAATTTGACCATCGCGAGGGTGCGTACCTAGCATGCCGAAAATCCTGCATCACTGACACGCGTTTAGATATGGCCGATCACAACTCCTTTTGTCAAGACGTATCGCTTCCCGACGCCGCTGCTGATCTACCAGCTGGCGCTGATTCCAGGCTCGCTCCTCATCGGGTTCCTGCTGTCACCACTGCTATACCTCTCGCGGCGGCTCGCACAGCAGCCCGTGAGGCGTCTACGCTTCCCCGCGGCAAAGGCGCGCGACCGGCGGCTGCTCGCGCTGGGGTTCTAC